GCTCTCCTCCCAAGAAGTAAACGTCTTTGGATTTCCTGGCTGCAGTCTGTGTCTGCAATGCTTCTTAAGGCCCATTCAACCTCGCTTCTCAGGATGTCTGGTTCTAATTAACTCACCACACTGTCAAAGCTATCCTTGATATTATTATCCTTTCTATACAGATCTTTTGTATAGTATTGCCACCTTATCTTAGATAACCATTAAGCAGCTTTGCTTTATTTTTACACAGAATGGAGGGAAACTTGTTTTCTGGGGGGAGAGGTAGTGAAGGTTTTAGCAAATTAATTAAAAATGGATCATTATTACCATTTACAGATGAAATGTCAATTTATTGGTTTTGGAACATATTTTATATGCAGTATTTATACTGTGTGTGTATTTATGTGTATACACACATACACTATATGTATTCATGCAGAAGTCTAGAAATTTTAGTTACAAATATAAAAGGAACCATTTTTGGATGAAGTGGCAAAAAATGAGAGCTTAATCCATCCCAAGGGAACCTATAAAAATATTAGATTGCCCCTACTTTTTAAATTGTAAACAAGGGAGGAAATAATCCAACAATTCAATACGTTTACTTGGTTTCAACACATACAATTTGAAAAAGTATTACAATAAAGACAAACAGTGTAGTTTTATGGAAAAGGACTATTTCTGGGATCGAATAATACAAAAAGACAGAAAAAAATATAACATTTATTTATGAAAAATTAATTGAATGGGCTACAGAGACTGAATCAGTGAAGGAATGCATGGTTAAATGGGCAACCAACATAGGAAGATCAATATTGAAAGAATGGGAACAAATATGGACCAAAAAATTAAGTATTCATACGCCACAGACATGAAAGAAAATTGGTTCAAGATGTTCTATAGATGGCATCTGTCCCCACAAAAATTGGAATAACGTATAAGAATGCAAATAATAAATGTTGGAAGTGTGAAATACAGGTAGGGACCTTCTATCATGCATGGTGGTCATGCCCAAAGATAAAAACTTATTGGAAGACCAAAATAAAGACATGTATTTAACCACTGCGGCCAGAACAATAAATGCAAAGAAATGGAAACAAAATGACTTGGCAACAAAAGAAGGATGATTGAACAAGGTAAAAGAAATAAGAGATATGGACAAATTGACGTTCTATCTGAAAGAAACAAATGGAAGACCGATCAAGAAAACTGACTGGAAATTATTTGATGAATATTTGAAGGAACGAGAAGGAAAGTCCAACCAGAGGGAAGAAGAATAGAGGGAGAAGCCAGAATTACAGAAATACAATTGAAAAAGAAAATAAAATGGACCCTTGAAGAAGGAGACTGGAAAACCAAAACTAACCCCCACCCCCACACACACACACAATCTCCCAACTCCCTGATTTTTTTTAATTTCCAACCTTTCCCGGTAGATAATCTATTTCAGCTTTTCTCCCTTAGTAATGTTTTCCTTCACTCCAACCTTCCCAACTTATCTCTTATCTTTCCTTACCCATTCCCACCCCTGATTTTATGACTGTAGTTAGATAAAAACATTCAATAAAAATCTATTTAAAATCTATATATGTAGAAAATAATTTAAAATTGAGAGCCCAAGTGAGCAGAAGAAGACTATGTAAAAAGGAGTTTATTTGCGCTAGACTTTGTTCATCAAGGTATACCTGTATAAATGCTGATCTATAACTGTGAACTGGACCATCTTTACATTTGTTTAATTCATTATAATATCATGACAGAGACTTCAAAATAATATAGTGTGTTTTTGTTTGTCCAATTTCAATGCTCAGTTTGAAACCAAAGTTCTAAATTAAAGGAGGAGGACTCACTGGAAGCAATAAAGTGGTGCCTGTTGTAACTCTTAAAATCATAGATAAGCATAGAATGATTTTGGTTGTTTTAAATGGAGAGTTCCTAAAAACTAGAAGGTAGGCTGCAATAATTGATCAGAATTTTTTTATGACTAGAAAATAGAAGGGAGCTCTTTTGAGGCACCACTGCTAAGATTCCTTAAGTGGGAAAAGGAGAGATGATGGGACATTGATAAGGCTCTGGTCCTAGAGCAAGAGAGTGGAAGAAGTAAACTGATGTTAAGACTCCTTGGGTATAAAGGGTGGAGGTGGGAAAAAGGTACCTTAACTCTTCTTTTTTTAAAAAAAGAAATAGGTATTCAAAAGGCCAAAAAGCCTTATTTCAGCCCTCTAAAGGCCAATCATTCTTTAAAACTGTATCTTATATCCAGGTGTTGTTAGTTTAACTTGCAGCGTATATGTAAATTACATTAGATTTAAGCAAGAAATAGTAAAGTTTTTGCTTACATGCACATTTGATTCATTTTAAAAACTCCAATACTAGTTCATGGGTAACAAGTACTGCCTGAGCTTGGAACTACCATATATACTCTTTTGTAAATCAACCTCGTATAAGTCAAGGACAGCTTTTGGTGCCAAAATTATTGATTTTGATATGACTGTGGATAAATTGAGGGTCGTTCTTGTGGAGGGGAAAGAGACAGTCTTAGGGAGACGTGCCATTTTCTACAAAGAGAAAGGGTTTCTTCCTTTTGTAACAAAAGTGAAGGTACAAAAAGAGCTTGGACCAATCCAGAAGGACTGACCCTCTCTATTCATTTGGTGCTTTTTTGAGGAGAAGTGACAAGTGCTCCAGGCATTTTCCATTTTCTGTGCTTATTCTGATTGTCATAGATACATGGAAGTAGAAAGGAGTCTTCGTACTTTCACAACGCTGCATCAGAAAGAAACACATTACATGAAGCACTAGGCAAGCAACTTTTCCTACCTCTCTGGAGTAGCAAGCCTTCACAAATGAGATTGTGTCTCCTTTTGGGAAAATTGTTAGTGATGGGATCTTGCTTCTCTTTGAATGAGAACTCAGAAGGGTTGTTGACAAATATGTATTAGGCTGGTTATGAAGAAAAACCAAAGCTATTTAATGCTTATATTTACTTAGTCACCTGGGATAAGTAATAGAAACCCAGAAACTTGTGCCCACATATTCTGTTTCCTCTCTCAGGTAGTGAAACAGAAATCTGAATTTTCTTAGCTATAAATTACAATGTGGCTGCTGGACACTTTCAATTTCCTTTGCAAGAAGAACCAAATCCATCTGCAGCCACCATACCTAGCAATGTATTAAAGTTAACTGGTTTCTAACTCTTCTTACTGATTTCTGAATTAACTGGAAGATTAGTACAGATCATTATCTCTAATCCACTGGACATTTCTCAGAATTAAAAGTTTTAATGTATGAAAATAGTGCTGATTCCCCCATGGACGGGGGAAAAGTAAGTGCTTTTGGTTTCTGTATTGAAGTCACATATACTAATGAACACACATTGCAAATTATTTCCTTCCTGTTTCCTAAGCTTTGGCCAGAAGAATGACTCAGCTGTTACTGACAAAAGCATTCTGAAAATCTTATGTTAATTTTGCAGCTGTATACATATCTGAATACTTTCTAAGAACCAGAAGTAATAGAACAGAAATACCACATTTTGCAATTTTTCTCATTTTAGATACTCTAAAAATAGGGTGTGTATTACATTTGCTGCTGCCTTACATTTGCTGTTTTTTTTTTGTGGTTTAAAAAAACTRTTACCTCCAAGGGGGGAGGAGGAGGGGACCCAGCCACATATGGCTCTGTTTTTTTATTTTWAAAAAAACTTATCCCTGAAAAGAAGAGGAAGGCTCCCAGCCACATATTGCTCTGGTTGCATGGGGGGGGGGGCGGGGGTGGTATCCCTCAGAGAGGAGGAAGAGCTTGACTGAGCTAAATGCCGCTTCCTGCTTCTGCTGCCTCCTCAATAGGCTCATAGACTTAGTTAAAAAGACCAATGCAGACAAGATGACTTCTGGATTTCTTCACACTCAGAAGTCATCTTGTCTATATGAGTCTCCTTTTTTTTCTAAGTCTATGGGCCTATTGTGCATGCAGAGGAAATTCTAAAAGGTATTGTGCATATTTAAATTATTTAAATTAAAATATTCTAAGAATTTTAAGAATTCTTTTTTTCAAAATTGAAGCTTCAAAAAGAGGGATGCACCTTAGGGCCTTTCTACACAGCCCTATATCCCAGAATATCAAGGCAGAAAATCACGCAATATCTGCTTAGAACTGGGTTATCTGAGTCCATACTCAGATCATGTGGGATTTTCTGCCTTGATATTCTGGGATATAAGGATGTGTTGAAGGGCCCTTAGATATGGTGACATACAGCACTAAGAGGATAAAGTGTATTATGCAAAACACCACTTTTTAGATATCCAAAGCAGAATATTTTCGAGTGTTGGCTAAGACTTATAATGCAAAACATGAAGGAAAATCAACACATACTACCTGGGTTTTCTCTGTCCCCAGCTCTTTGTCTGGAAATCTGTGCTTTCTGTATGTGAATGACACTTTGGCAGAGACCACATTCAGTTTCCTCAATAACTTTTATCTGGCTACATAAAACTTGGAAAGACCAAGAAATGACTGGTAGTTCTGCCTCCAGGCAAGTCCATGACTCAACAGAAGCCCCTCTCCCATGTGATCAGGAAGAGCAAATATAAGCCTTAAACGCAGTGAAAGAGTCATGGTTGATTCCAAAACACAACTCACCTTCTGCTCTCACCTCACCCTTATGCTCTCACCTCATGAGGAAGCAGTCATGGGAATTGCTATTGGCATTCCCTTTACATTGAAGCAATTGCTCTGGCTAAATTATTTTTTTCCTCTGGTGGTAGTGGAGGAAGGTTCTGTGGATGTTTTAGCAGGCACTGTGTAGCCAAGCCAAGATTTACATTATTAATTATAATTTACCAGAGTAGACATGTAACTACAACTCGCCTTAGTTGACTAGTACAGATGCTCTTTCCTGCAGATGCTCCTGTTCTCATATTACGGGTGTATTCTCTAAATGGTTTTCCAGAGGTACTATAGTTTTTGTTTTTTGCTAGATTCTTTAAAGACTAACTGGTTTCCTTTTCCTTTCCTTTTAGGAGTGAGAAGGCAATTTTGGATTCAATGAACTGAAATGTCGGAAAAGTCAGGGCAGAGTACAAAGGCAAAGGACGGAAAAACAAAATATGCAACACTTAGTCTATTCAACACTTATAAAGGGAAAACTCTGGAAACACAGAAAGCTGCAGGTATGTACTACTTTGAACCGCAGTTGTGTTTTAAGATATCCATATGATAACAGGCTTGATTGAAAGAAGTTTTTTTTACATTTTTTTTCACTAGCCACTATTATGTTGTATGCAGGAGTAAAAAATTGTTACTAATTTTGTTTTACTAGCTGCTTATCTTTCCTATTACCTGCACAGACATACATTTCTCTTAAAGAGCTATTTTCTCCATATAGACCCTCATTAATTAAAATTGTCTTGAAAGCCTTTCTTGATTTGGTGATGCAGGAAAGAGTAATCTTAGAATCATAGAATTAGAAGAGATCACAAGAACCATCTAGTCCAACCCTGTGCCATGCAGGAAATCACAAAAGCGTCCCATACAGATGGCCATCCAACATTGTACCAACATCATACCTGGCATAATTAAAATCTCTGATGTCTTTAGATACATTCAGTAGGCAACCGGGAAGACCAATTCAATTTTAGCCACTTTTGATTATTTTTGTATAGCAAATAACTGACTAGTTTTGAATATAAACTGCATATGAGACATTTTTCTATTATATCTTGTTGAAGCCAGAAGCCTGGTAGATCATCATCTAAATATTTAGTGTTATAGCACTATACTTATTAATCTGAAATGGGTACAGAATTAAATTTTCCAATTAAATATTGGTCTGTTTATTTGGAATAGGGTCTATGTTTTCAGTACTGTGTTCTAATTATGAGACTCATTCCATCAGGTTTCAATAGTGCATTAAATTGGATGCATCTTTATTTGATCCGCGTCTTTCTTGTTACTGCATTAAATGTCAACAAAAGAAGTAGATTGTTTAAGTTTCTTGAAAAATCAAGGAGTCCAGAAAACAGGCGGAGAAGTTGTTACATAGTTCTGCCTTTTTTCTGACCCATTAAGCATTTTGCCATCACCTGTATGCCAGCGATTCTACCAATTCCTCCTCATTCCTTTTCCTTCCTTTTATTGTTATAATCTCCCCTTTAAGTCTAAGCCCATACTGTGCTTAGATTTTGCTAACTTTATTCCTACACATGCTGACTATTTGGTGATTTCTCTGCTTTTCCATTTCTTGTACATGTTCCTTTTACATTTTAGCTCAGTTGAAAGTTCCTTAGACACCCATTCCGGTTTCTTTAGACATCTATTTTTATTCCTCATTGTGTCTCCAATATCTCACTTTTCAAAAATTCCCATCCACCACTTACTACTTTCCTTTTTTTTTTAGTATTGCTGACCATGGGATTACGTTTAGTTTTCCCCTAAGTTTACTGAAGCTTTCTTAAAGCCTAGGATGCATGTCTGGCTGTGCTTAACTTCCCCTTTCTATTGTATAACATATTCTAGTAGAACATGGTCACTTTCATCTAAGGAACCCACCACTTCTACTCTATTTACTAGATTGTCACTGTTGGTTAGGAGCAGATCTAAAAAAAAATCTGATCCCCTTGTTGCTTCTGCCACCTTTTGAAGTATGAAATCATCTGCAAGGCAAATGAGGAATTGGTTAGTCCTGATATTCTTGGCAGAGAATGTCTTCCAACAGATATTTCTCCTTTCTGAATGTTTGGCCATCCATTGTAGGAAGGCATCATCCAAGTCATTGATCTGGTTGAAGGTTTGTAGCACCTTCACAACGACACCCCTGTCATTTCTTCCCCCCTTAATGTTTACCCAGATGTTCTCAACCCGATTTCCAGGAGATATGTCATGGATCTTGTCACAAGTGTAAACATGTTTATCATACAGTGTTGATCCTGCTTTCCTCTTTAGCTTATTTCTCAGAAATAGGTTATACCCTTCTATTACTAAATTCTAATGATAAGACGTGTTCTGCCAGGTTTTAGTGATGCTGATTGTAACATATTCATTTATTTTTATTAATTTACAGTAAATTTTATTAATTTACTGTATTACCCTGCCCTTTTCAACCTGAAGGGGACTCAGAGCAGCTTTACAATAGGCAACAATTCAATGCCATATCAGATAAACATATAATAAAATAAACATATACACTGAAACATTAAATTAAAAGCAATGTAAACATTAAAACTAATTATTAAAACCACACAATTTGAAATCATAGTCAAGGCCATTCCAGTCGTGATTGCACATATTCCATCTTCACTTATTTTACTTCATTATTATCCACAGACTTCGTCCCGCAGCCATATTTTAGGAGGGAGGGCTGACCTGATATGTTTTGCATTTATAGTTCAAGTTTTTGTGGTTAATTTCCTATGTTCTGTGCAGTAATCTAGAGACACACAAGACCATGTGCTGTCCCGGCCTAGATGCTTTCTTTTCCCCTTTTCACTGTTCTGTTCTTGTTCTGTTTGTTCTATAATAGCTGGGGTGTTCTGTCTCAACCTCCTGCCTTCAAGAATATTGTTTCCCTCCCTCAGATAATTCACTCTAAAAGCCCTCCTGATCAGGTTTGTGAGACTCTTGGCAGATATGTTCCTGTCAACATCTTTGTGATGCCAGAAGCCCAACTCTATTAAATCTCAGACCTTGGTCCAGGAAGCGGAATTGATCCTGATGACACCATCTGCAAATCTAGTTATTTGCTTCTATTACCCTTCTCTTCCTTCCTGGGCTGCATCCTTGAATTGGGAGGGCAGACAAAACGAACTGGGTGTCAAGACACTTCATCTTCCTATGTAATCCTGTGTGATCTTCTAAAGCAGTGGGTTTCCAGATCTTCTGGTCCTCAGCTGGTAAACTGGCTGGGATTTCTGGGAGTTGTAGGCTAAAACACCTGGGGACCCACAGGTTGAGAACCACTGTTCTAAAGCCTACACCATGTGGCAAACATGCTATTCCCCACATGGACCAAAAGGAAAGGCGTATTGGACTGTGGTCTTGATAAGCCTTGTCAACTTCTCCATTACATCATGGATTTTTGCTCCAATGAGATAGCACACCTCTCCAGTCATCCTGTCAGATCTGCAAATCACGGATTTCTCTCAGCAGGGAGTCCCTTATTACCACCACAGTAGACAAGAAAGATCTTTCTACCGTTCAACAGCTTATAGTTAGAAAGTTCTTCCAGGCAGAATTTCTTTTTTTGCAGTTTGAATTCATTTGTTTGTGCTGTTAGAGCAACCTATGTCAGCGCTTTAAATGCCTCTATTCACTTGTCCTACTAAGAAATAGATGTTGCTTTCCTATGCATCATGTACAGGCCAGTTGGATAATGTCAGCATATCTACTTCTTAAAGCTTTTCAGTAGCAGTGGCGTCAAAAGCATCTTAATCCCAAAGGACATAGATGGGTTTTTTTTAAAGAAAGGGTTTTTTGGCATTAAAGTAAATGCAAAGTAACGGTTGAAAATATGCTTTCTTGGTGTTTAGTTACAGCTCGCCATGGGCTCCAGAGTCTTGGGAAAGTTGCCATTTCAAGGAGGATGCCACCTCCTGCTAACCTTCCCAGTCTTAAAGCAGAGAACAAAGGCAACGATCCTAACATAAACATTGTGCCTAAGGATGGCACAGGATGGGCTTCTAAACCAGAGCAACAAGAAGAAGAAAAGTAAGTTAAGTAGAATGGTACTAAAAGTGGTAATGCTAGTATAGTTATGCTGTAGAACCACATCTTATATAAACTTCAGCTGATATGCAATACCTAGATTCTGAGAACCTGAGTAATTGTGTTGTGATAATATCCTGTTTGGATTATTGAATCGTGCTGTGCATGGGCCTCATTGTCACATTTTATGAAGATTATAGGTGAACAATTTGTATCCTAATTATGAGTAGAAGAATCTGTCCTTTTTTGCCCAGCTAGATTGCACAAATCATAACATCCAGTCCCTCACAGTTCTTTCCTTCTCTGCATTAAAGCAGTTAGTTAGCAGAAGTTAATTGGCTAATGATTCTACTGCCATAAGAGTAAAAAATGTATCGGCACATTAGCTGCCTTCTTTTTCATTAAAAGAAAGCATATTAAATGTAACGAAAATATATTACCATAATAACTTCTATTTAGGAAAGTAAGCACAGCTGAAAAGTTTTAAAATTCCTTTTCAGCACTGCAGATGCTTTCTTTAATGATCTGAGAAATATTGTGACTATAAGTAGCATGGGCTTTTTAAAATCCCCTATTTACAGTATTGTCGGGTATATTTCTTCAAATTTCTTTTGCTTTCAGACCACCAGAAGTGCCACAAACTGAGCCAAAGCCTCCAGTTCCTGCTCCTCCAGAAGCCCCTCCTGTTGCCAAATCATGGGCCAATACCAAGCAAGGTGGGCAAGGTGATGGTAAGTGGAGAAATCCTGTTTAGTACACATGATATCACCTCTTTCCTTTTGAGGCAAGCACTCAACGTTAATTGATGAAACACTTCCAAGTCTGTAACAGTTGTGATTTGATAAGTACTTTTAGAATAATGTATTTTGTTGTAACACAACAAAGTATATTTGTAACAATATCATTGTGAGTCATAACATATTTGGGGTTGGGTTTGAGGATGGGTTTAGAGAGAATCAGAGCTACAGAGGGCCTGTTTCCCCCTGCTATAGATCTATTTATACAACATATAGTGCCTCCATTTTTCAAGATACGTTTTTGCCTGTATCACAGTTTGTAATAGACAAGTTGCAAGTAACCCATTTGAATTGGATGCTGAATTGAATTTAGTATTTTAAACATTGTAGTGCAGTTTTTTTAATAAACACATGAACTCAGTTTGTATCATCAGTATCTTAATTGTTTCTAATTTATGTTGTTAATTCCTTTGTCACATTGGCTATTTTTCTGTTTAATTATATTGTCCCTTCAACTCCCTTGCTTCCCTTCCTTACTTGGCCTTGAGAGAGCTGAAGCATTCCCCCTTCAAATATGTAAAATCAGTTGGAACAAAATGGCAGCAGCCTTTTTTCATGAGACTCTGCAGAGAGATTCTGATGGTCATTTTGAATAAGCTTTGACAGTCTTTTTGCAGAAAGCCAGTATTAAAAATGGCTGCTGTCATTCTAATGTGATACTCCAAGTCAATTAGGATTGTTGTTGTTGTGTGCCTTCATTAAGGGTGACCTTAATTCTGGGTAAATGACCTTGTGGGGGCAGTATCCGGCCCACAAGCCTCAGTTTGGGGAACTCCTGCTATAGACACTAAGAGGAGAGCTAGAAAGATGATGGTGCGATCAGCCATCTAGCTGCCAGTGCTGGTTATCATTCAGAAGAAAGAAAAGGAAAAAAATTCCTCAGTTTACCTTCTGGATTCATTTCTTAAAGCAGGCTCCTTTATTCACACAAATCACTGAGGGTGTCGGCTGCTACGGCTGTAATGTTGGACTCTTTTTCTTGTGTCAGAAAGATATTAGATTTTACTATACTATTCAGTTTGGCTTCATCAGGAAAACAGCTGGAGTAGTAATCCTTCCTGAAGCAACCAAATCCATTATAGGAAAGGTGGTTGTTATTTGCAATAATTTATATTGTTTTAAAGATTATGAGTTTTCCTCATTATAGATTTAGGTTTTCTGAGGTACAATGCAGTTACTTGGTTGTTGTTTTTTCTTTAACACAACTGTCTCAGGTCCTGGAGTTCCGATAAACAGCTATTTTCAGCAAGAGTTTCCTAGTCTGCAGGCAGCTGGAGACCAAGAAAAAACAAATAAAGAGAAGGATGCAGCTGAAGAGCCTTATGGTCCTGGACCCAGTTTACGACCACAAAGTAAGTATTCATAAAATACTGGAATGCCTTTTGAGATACTGTATTTCTCTTTTAAAAAAGAAGCTGTCTTCATTTGCCTTTTGGTTCATATTAAAAATAAACAATCTCCGAAAGAAATTCTGATCTAGGTTTGACCTCTGTGGTTACAAGACTCTTATCTGGTGGTGAAGTTCAAAGACATAGCTGTGTTAGTCTGAAATATCAGATTTTGTAGTGCCCTAGAGACTAATTGCAAGAAAGAAGTGGCTAAATCTAAGAAGTTGCTTAATCCAGACTCTGCATCTGAGGGAGTAGACTTAGATTAATCAGTATGGTAGTATAACAGTAAGGAAAGATTTGGATGGTGATCAAGCTGCTTTCTGTCTTAAGATAAAGAGGCAGTCCCCAAGTTACAAACAAAATAGATTCTGTTATGTTTGTTCTTAAGTTGAATTTGTAGGTCAAACAGGAACCTTTTCTAAATGTAACTCCAGCCAATGTGTGTATGTACAGTATGTGTACACACACACACAAGCTTTGGGTAGCATAGGGAAGGATTAACACCCCTACTGTCTGTGTCTCTGTTCAGAAGATTTCACCTCTCTTTCTCTCCTTGTGACAATTGGATTTTGAAAAAATTGACTTGTGGAAACAGGGTGATGAAGCTTCAGTAGAGACACTTTTCCCCCATGATAACTTTTTCAGGAGTGAATTTTTCTTCTGAAGGGTAGATTTCTCTCACTGCCACTAGAAATAAATACTATTAGTTTCAGTGAGTCACAGTTATAATGGCCAATTTCCCCCCTCATCTAGACCAGGATGTATGTTTGTGTGTGTGCAGCTGTCATTCAGTGACTTTTAGAACCCTCTTACAGGAAATGAGGTCAGTGGATTCCTTTGCTATACCAAAGCAAATAATAACTGTTCAGATATTTCATTCCCATGAAACCAAAAAACTAGAATCAGGGAAGTAGTAGTCCAAGTGCCGTTTTTTTAGAACAGTAAGAGTTCTGATTTCCAGTTTGGTAGCAACAAAAAATAATCACATAAGCTGGTGACTACTGTAGAGACTAGGGATTAGTCAAAACCTGAGTTAGCGGTGGTGGGTTTTTATTTGTTCCTGAAATTATTTTAATAGTCACCGTATTTTTTTTGCATTGGCCTATGTAGCATTCTAGTGAAAACAAAACACAGATCAGTATATTGGGCACCTGTCAACTCCTGCATAAGTTATATACTTAGCAAGCCATAATTAGTACTCATTATCTATTTTTCTGACTTGCTGATCTTGGTTGGTTAAGTCAATCATTTTAATTATCATAAATATCATCTAATATCTGCATTTCACAATTGCTGTCAGTGAACCAAATATTTTATTTTTAAAATTTTTCCTCAATTTCTCAGTTGCAAAGGACTCAATTTGATCAGGTTAAGCAGTGATTCTGTTTGATCATACTAGTCTCTTCTGAATTATTGATATTGTAATAGCTCATGGAAGTTTGTGAACATTTTATATATTTATGAGCATTACTTAATATTCTTGACAGAAGACTATCTGGTTACTTCCTTATTTGACGCAAAAGAGGTATTTAAGATCACGTTGTGGCCTCCCATTTTTCAAGAATGTCAGAGTTCCTTTGATCTTGATTTGACTTCTCTGTCCAGTTTATCAAGACTTCTCCCCATTTCTTTCTTGCCTTCACCCTGCACACAACTTCTGCTTTCTATTTTTGCAAAGCTATTTCTATTTTTCTTTAGGCAAACCATTTTATTAGGAAATGAACCTGTTTGCCTTTCAACATTACTTGCACGCAGGCATTATTTACTGTCTTTTTTGAGGTAAATTCTCATTAGTTTCATATCTTACAATATTGATATGGAAGAAAAGAAGCATTGTGCAATAATTTAAATTTTCTTATCGACCAGTGATGTGGAACCAAATTGGAAAATAACATAGGAGTACATATTAGCAGATACTGAGTTTGTAATATGTGAATATAAATGTGAATATAAATATTAGTGTCCCTTAGGTGTTCTAACAGAAATTCTCCTGGTCTTGAAGTTGGGTTGAGCACAGACTGAGCTCACATTAATTCAAAACAACTGAAGGAAGAGCAGAGCTAAATTCCAGAGTGCATATGCCACTATTGTGGCAGTAGATTCATTGTGGGAGGAAACCGAATGCAAGAATGCAGCCCTACAAAATCTGTAATATTTAATTCTTCCTTTGAGTGTGACCTCATCGCTAAAACAGTGTAGCTAACCTGCAGGAGAGATGCTGATCTGCTTCATGAGTGATCATCTCGCATTTCTCAATCTTTTTACCCTGGAGGAACTTGTGAAATAATATTTAGATCTCAGGGAATCTCTGCATTAATATTATTCCCCTAAAGTTCATATTTTTTTAACAACAATCTCTCACAGAACCTCTAACAATCTCTCATGGAACTCTGAGGAATCCTGGTTGATAAACCTATATACAAGTGGTTCTCAACCTGTGGGTCCCCAGATGTTTTGGCCTAAAACTCCCAGAAATCCCAGCCATTTTACCAGCTGTTAGAGTTGAAGGCCAAAACATCTGGGGACCCACAGGTTGAGAACCACTGCTATAGACAGTCAAATGACAACTCCGATAAAAAATATGTGTGTTTTCAACATCATTGAATGTTCTGTGTTGTTTCCTCTGAAGTTTTTCTTTTTGGTAAGGAGCGACTTGAGAAACTGCAAGTCACTTCGGGTGTGAGTGAATTAGCTGTCTGCAAGGATGTTGCCCAGGGGACGCCTGGATGTTTTAATGTTTTACCATCCTTGTGGGAGGCTTCTCTCATGTCTCCGCATGGGGAGCCAGAGCTGAGAGAAGGAGCTCATCTGTGCTCTCCCCGGATTCGAACCTGTGACCTGTTGGTCTTCAGTCCTGCCAGCACAAGGGTTTAACCTATTGTGCCACTTGGGGCTCTGAAGTGAAGATTAAGCAATAGGAAATACATCAAGAGCACCACACTATTTCAAATATTATTTAACCGTTTTTTTCCAATGCAGATGTTGCTAGTTGGAGAGAAGGTGGAGGCAAGAATTTGAACTCTCCAAATGCTCCAACTGATGAAGATGCAAAACCTACTACTCAAGAAGATGGCAATGTGGTTGCACCAGTAGAACAGAACGATGGTCCTAAGATACCAGAAAAGAGAGAAGTGAGGGTAATACAGCCTCCTCAGCCAAAGTTGAATGGACAACAGCCTGGGCTTATCTCTCAGTACAGAGCAATCATACCTCCCTATGTAAGTTGTCTGTATTACTATCACGTAGAGTTGATTGTTAAGAAAAGATATTTGGGAAACAGAAATGTAGAGGAAGATTTCATGGACAAAGCGTGTAGGCATGTGAATTCTTCACTTTTGTCATCTTTGGGGTTTCTTTATTGTTGTGTACAATACTTTCTGGAGTGGTGCTTTTTGCAAGAAAATGCAAGAAAAGGGACAGGATAATTACATATAAAATGTAGCTCCTGTAAGATCCATGTCTGTCTATAAAGTGCATTCTAGACTTTAAGATGTACTGTATATGTTATCTCCATAGTCATAAAGTTTTCAGATACCTGGACAGTAACTATTTCTTTTTCCAGTTCTGAAATAACGGTTTGTGGTTGTTTAATAATGTATTACTTATAGTTAACTCACATAGTAGAAAATAATGTTTTTATGGGATTATATAAGGAGCCCCCAGTGGCGCAGTGGGTTAAAGCTCTGAGCTGTTGATTTTGCTGACTGAAAGGCCTCAGGTTCGAATCCGGGAGTGGCATGAGCGCCTACTGTTAGCCCTGGCTTCTTCCAACCTAGCAGTTAGAAAACATGCAAATGTGATTAGATCAATAGATACCACTTCTGTGGGAAGGTAACGGCGCTCTATGCAGTCATGCCGGCCACATGACCTTGGAGGTGTTTACAGACAACACCAGCTCTTCATCTTAGAAATGATGATGAGCACCAACCTCCAGATTTGGACATGACTAGAGTTAATGCCAGGAGAAAACTTTTACCTATATGAAAATTAATCTCAAGAAAAGGGAGTGCTATAATTGGATTCAGGTATAATCTGATATTGGAATGACCAGAAGGTATGAAGTGGACCAAGACTTGATTTTCTCAGAATAGTATTTAATAAGGGCAAATACATTTATTTTTTTTCAAAGTCATGGGGCTATGGGCAGAATAGCATAAAAAGTGAGAAAATCTAAAATAGTTATATAGACATATTTGTGGCGTGCCACAAATTGCCTATGCTTTTAATGTTTCAATTGTTTGTTATTATAAGACTTATTCATTAAATGTGTCTCAGGGTCTTATTTATATGCTTAATTTTTTTAGTTGTTTATAAGTACACCTTGATGTTGTTTATTTTATTGTTTATGATTTGATCTGTCTGGGTATGTTATGCTGGCATTTAATGTTTGCCAATTTTTTGATTTAAACCGCTCTGAGTCCCCCTGGGGAGATAGGGCGGGATAAAAATAAAGTATTATTATTAGGTCTCACCAAAAGACAGATATAATATATTTTGATTTCTAGAGTAGATCTATGAATACCATGCTTGCATTTATGTTATAAAAGGAGAGTCTTTGGCGTAGGAATTACAGTTGCAGGGAACTTTATGGAAATTCGTAGTTTATCTTTAAGAGTAAAAGGTTGTCTCTTAATCCATTGGATGACCGGAGAAGCAGTCTATTCTTTCATGTTGGTCCAAAATATGGCAGAATTTCTCCCATCCTCCAGTGATTTGAGGCATTTGAGGGTGGGGGGCAATTACAAGAAAGATGGGGGGCCTGGAGGCGACTCTTTCTCCATCTTGGGCTAAACATAGATTTTACTTAAAATTTTACCTCTGAATGCTGAAATGTTATTTCATTTTAAAAGTTATATCTATATACATTTCAGATTGATGCCCCATCCTTGACCTAGTTGATGAAACCATTTAAAAGTTTGTTAATTTACTAAAATATTTATATCTTAACCTTTATCATGAAATTCCAGGATAGCATACTGTTAAAAGTAATAGATGTTTCTCAACATGACACAGATTTGCATTTAACTGGAAGGACTATAAATCTGACCTTTGCTAATTTTCAGTTTTGGCTTTTTAAAGACTTTATAAGTCCTTCAACTTTCATAAATTATAATTTTAGCTTCCCATGTGATTTGTTTATGTATATTTCTTACTTGTATGGACTTTTTACACATCTGCCTTCTTTTCCTTAGATGTTTAATCAGTACCCTAAACTAGCATATCCTCAAATGCCGGGCCCTGGCAGGTTCCCTACTCCATCTGAGCCCAGCAGGTAAGAAACTAAATTGTTTTACTTGAATTGTTGGGAAGTTGACTTTGGTTTCTGTGATAATAGAATTACTGGTGCATAGTGAACTTATGGGAGCCCCCAGTGGCACAGTGAGTTAAACCACTTAGCTGCTGAAGTTGCTGACCGAAAGGTCGGTGGTTCAAATCTGGGGAGCAGGGTGAGCTCTCGCTGTTAGCTCCAGCTTCTACCAATCTAGCAGTTTGAAAATGTGCAAATGTGAGTAGATCAATAGGTACTGCTCTGGCAGGAAGGTAATGGCACTCCATGCAGTCATGCCGGCCACATGACCTTGGAGGAATCTTGGACAACGCCGGCTCTCCGGCTTAGAAATGGTGATGAGCATCACCCCCCAGACTTGGGCACTACTACACTTAATGTCAAGGGGAAACCCTTGCCTTTAGTGAACATATGAATTTTTTACATAGCTAAATTATATATTTATATTACCTGCTCCTAATTTGCATAGTTAGGAAATGTCATATGTATAGCTGAATTTATGTTTTCATATTCTCATTTAGCAGGGTTGAGAAAATGCCAGATGCGTTATTTTGGCAATTTGTATTCTGCGAAATCTGATTAAATGACACAGTCTACACTTAATAACAAAATACATATGTGTAAACTTGAATATGATTAATTTTCATTGTTTTTCTAGAGGACCAAGGGGAAGAGGACCCTCTTCATGGAATTCAGAGGCTGTAGAACGTCCATCCATCTTAAGTGCCAATGAACTAAAAGAACTTGACAAGTTTGATAATTTGGATGCTGAAGCTGATGAGGGCTGGGCTGGTAAGCTTGCTCATCCCTTGAACTGGTTGCACATGGAGAAGGTCTTTGCCATGCTAACCTCCTATTCTTCTTTCTCCAGGAGCCCAAAGTGAGGTAGATTACAGTGAACAGTTGAATTTCAGTGATGATGATGAACAAGGAAGTAATCAGAAAGAACATCATAGCAGGTTGATATCCTGAATATATTTGTATGTTTGGGAAACATACAAATTGTCAGTTAAATGTTGTGTTGTGTCTGCACTGTGCATGTCAGAGAACAAGAATGATGCCGTGACTAGGTTAAGTACTGGATTTGTATGCAAAAAAATGAAGTACTTGAGTTCTAGTTAACTGAGAGTCTACTGTATATTCCTGTTTCTGGATCAAACATACTTACTAGCATTTTTCTTTTCCATTTTGCTGTTTTTGCTGTGCATGTCTCAGATTATAAACATAGGATGAATAACTAGCAAAAAGAATGACATTTTTAGGAAATAATACATGTTTAAAATGTTTTAAGTATCTAAAAGAGAAACTTCTTCTATTTTCATGAATGTCTTTATCCAGTAATGAACCTGCAAAAGATTTGGAGGAGAAAAATGGAGAACATAAATCGTCACTCACTTTGCAATCAATTGGTCCAAAAGGCCCTTGTAATCAAAGTTCTCAGCCTGACCAGGTATATATTGTATTATCAGTTTCTATAAATGCAATATGCCCAGAAATATAAATTGTCTGTTACCTTTTCTGTTGTTTTGTGAGACAAATATGCAAGCATATAGTATTTTCAAAAGTCTTGCTGAAACATGGCAGTTTACGCAGTATTGCAACTTAAATTGCTGCTGTTGACTCCAAATTGTTTCTGACTTACAGTGAGCTTAAGGTGATCCTAATCACAGGGAGCGGACGATGCCTCTATTGAAGCAGCTCCAATAGTTGCTGATAAGTTTCCGGTCCCAATTCAAAGTGCAGGTTATTACCTATAAAGCCCTAAACAGCTCAGGTCTGGGTTTATCTTTGTGATCGTATCTCCCTCTATGAACCAGCACGAGCTCTAAGACCTGATGGGAAGGCCCTCTTCTTGGTCCTGCTTCCATCACAAGCATGTTTGGTTGGGACAAGAGAGAGGGCCTTCTTGGTGGTGGCCCCTCAGCGCTGGAATTCTGTCTCCAGGGAGATTAGATTAACCCCCACTCTGTCCACCTTCCATAAAGACTTGAAAACTTGGATGCTCCAATGTGCCTTTGAATGACGATTAGCTCCCGATCAAGCCCACCCAACACTAACATATTGTTTCCGTTTACTCCCAGCCCCGGCCCTATAGTCTGCGTTTTGCACAGCCCTTGCCCTGCCCGCTTAAATCAGAATATGCCCACTTTTTTCAGCTACTAGTTGTATATATTTTATGTTTTTACTTTTCTAGTTTTAAGTGTTTTAATGATATTGTTTATTGTCACATGTTTTTAATTTCTGTTTTACCTTGTAATTCTTGTTTTATGCTGGGCTTAGTCCCCATGTAAGCCCTCCTGAGTCCCTTTAGGGGAGATGGTGATGGAGATAAGAATAAAGTCATCATCATCATCATAGGTTTTCTGGGGCTCAGAGTATGTGATTCGCCCAAGATCATCCAGTGGGGTTTCATGACTGAACTGTAAGTCAGTCCCTGTTCTCAAGAGTAGTTGTTCAATGCTCAAAACACAACATCACGTTAGCTTAAATCTACAATTCCCTTAAAATGAGCGAAGCAAGGATTGCTCATACCATAGCAGTCCTTGACTGTTTAGCTATTTCCCACTTTGACTTATATATGTTGTCTAAATAATCTAGCTTGTTTTATTATTTTATTTTCGATGTTTGGTCTTTTCAGACGTAACAAAACCTATTCTGCTTTAGTTGATTTGGGAGAGCCCTGTTTCATAGCAAATAATTATTACCATATATTTCCTGATTGAACTGCACCTTTATATTTTACATGACACAAAGTCTTATATTTTCTTATACTAATTTCTGATTATGTTTACTTTTGTTTTCCGTTTCACCATTGTTGATAGATAATGCGATGGTATCACATTAGAGTTCTCAAGCACAGGCCTGCATTTCCCTATTGCACAGTTGCCCCTGAAGAATTCTGGGAAATGTAGTTTAGAGAAACTTTGAGAATTCCTTAACTACACTTTCCAAAACTGTGCAGGAGCAAATTGGGCAATAGGGAAACAAGGACCTATGCTTTAGAACGCTAATGTGTTACTGTCATTAGTCATTACTGGTACTATATAAAGAGTAAATATATGAACGGTTTTACTAAAGTGGCCAAAGATGTTTCTCATTAGTAAGGCCTTAAATAAATTATTGTTACTTCTAATACAACTCAAGTCCTCCTAGTTAAAAAGTGGTTAATAATTTTATATAATTGTTGAGATTTGGGAGGCATCTTTACTTTTATTTCTTCATTGTTCTCTTAAGCTTCTCTGATTCCATGCAGAATTTACCTTTCACAGTTTAAAATGATTAAATCAACTTCATTCCATTTCTTGTGATTGAAAAAAGATTTATAGGGATTTTTTCCTTAATTCAGCAGGGGCAAGGACCATCTTCAGTGCTCGAGAGGGGCACTGCTGGGCTTCATGCAAAATCTGTCCTTCAGGTATGAAACAAAGATATGGTCACCTGAAATTTCCACTGAGTCAAATATCAATATTTACATTATTTTCTTTATTTTCTAGTAAAATATACACTGTGCTCAGCAAGAATGGCATGTTAGGCATGTGGTGCATATTGCGGGATACACATCACTAATTCATTATGTTTTTTTTATTCATTTGCTGGTTCTTTTGTCTTTCTTTTTCTTTTTTTCAGTAGCTTGGTGGTAAACATAGGCTAGAATCCCCTAAAACCCCTGAATGTGTAAAAAGTTCTTTAGCATGCTAATAGGAGTATTTCTCTTTTGTTTACAGTTCATAACAACATAATAAAAGTAGCTCTATAGATCCTTGTTCTGTAGTGATATATGACACTGGGGAGAGAGTGGACTCTGGGTGGGAGTTAAAAGTTCCTAGTATCACTATTGAATACCTGTTTAATTACCTGAACATTACCAGTAATTATTCTCAACCTAGAATGAGATATTAGAACCTGCTGCAGTCTCCATACCTTAAAGCCTACAATCCATTCATTCTTTAAACTGCTTGTATTGTTGTTATTGCTTGTATTGTTGTATTTTAGGCTTGGCCTCATGTAAGCCGCACCGAGTCCCTTGGGGAGATGGTAGCGGGGTATAAATAAAGTGTTATTATTTATTATTATTTAAAGTGTATTTTAAGTCCCATAAGTTAATGTGCATGTTTGGAAATAGAAATAAATTTTATAACAACTATTTCCCCCCTTTTCTTCAACACTTCAGTTGTGTTCCAGTTTATAAAGTAATTGAAAGGATCCTTTTTGAAAGAAGGTATTCATAAGATGCCTTAGCTCTACATTTCTTCATGATAAAGTTGCTTTATTTTAAATTTAATCCTGTTCTGGGCATTTCTGAGTGAAAATAGGGACTCTTAGTAATATTCCCTTTATTATGCCTGACCCAAGAGTACATGAGAAACTTTTTGAGAGTTTACATATTTGAGTTCTTTTCTATTGCTTTCTGTTACTAGAAGCAGAAAGCAGTTTAGTCACATGAAATTTTTCTGCTTTTCTTTATTTCATAAAACATTATAGCACCCAGTTGCAGATCGATTGACAGGACCAGGAAGACAAGGTCCCTTTCCACCTAGATCAGCAGCAGATGAAGATGAAATTTGGAAGCAGAGGCGAAGGCAACAAGCAGAAATATCTTCAGCAGTAGAACGAGCTCGAAAAAGGCGAGAAGAAGAGGAACGAAGAATGGAAGAGCAAAGAAAAGCAGCATGTGCGGAGAAGCTAAAAAAATTAAATGAAAAATTTGGATGTGTACCAAAACCAGTCCGGGAAGATCCATTTAAGGAAAAAGAAAAGGTCAAGGAGAAGGAAATTGAAGAGGAGTGGAGAAAACCAAATGAAAAGGAGACACCAATCGAGAGAAAGGAAGAAGAAAGCCAAGAGAAGGAAAAAGAACCTGAGAGGGAGTTGGAAAAGGAGAAAGAACCTGAGAGGGAGACTGAGGCGGAGACTGAGGCGGAGACTGAGGCAGAGAAAGAAAGCGAAAGGGAAGAGAAAGAAAAACCTGAAGAGAAACTTATCCCTGAAGTATCTGAGCCTCAAGAACCAATCACCCCACCTTTGAAAGTAGAGGAACCACAAGAAAGTGAAACCAGCACTGATGAGGGGAAAGGTCTGTAATCATTATTTTGTTTAAAATGGATTGGACAGCTGTGGCCCTCCAGATATTGGACTGCAACACTATGTAACAAAATTTGAAAAGAAATCTGTTCCTAGTTTGAAAGTGTTATTTCCTGTTTAATTGTGTGGTACTTGCTTTGAAAGTAGTTTTTCTACTTCAGAAACTTTGTTTTTGTGGCTGCCACAAACTTACGTTGAATTGGTTGAGATTCTGTAAGATATTCATTAAAAATCTAGAATGAAATGTGCTGTAGGATGTCCTGCAAAACAAAAGTTTTTGCACTTTAATAAACTTTTTCCATGTGTTTATGATAGAACCAATTAGAAAATTACATTTATGGCCCAGGAACAACAATCATGTTCCATAGTATAATCCGAGTTGCGGTCTCACAGCATCTGGATGGCTCACAGTGACCCACAGACCACCATTTAAAATAAGCAGCACAGTAGCCTATAGCAGATATTTAAAAATATAGAAATGCCATAATACTCTCAGATTTAGATATTCAGAAAGCAATTTCTGTGGTTGCTTGAGGTTAGATTAGAAACAAATATTTGAGATAACTATCTCAGAAAATCCTCTAATACTGTAAAGGTCAGAAGAATTCATTGAGTGTATTACTTAGCTCGTACTAGATTAGACCTACTGAGTCAACATATAGATGACTCCCACTAATACAGTGGAGCTGGCAGGATTCAGGCTTTTTTTAATTGTATGGACATCAGTGAATACCTATATAAATAAAAATGTCATGTTAGTTTGTGGGATTAACAGAACGCAAAAACCACTGGACGAATTGACACCAAATTTGGACACAAGATAACTAACAACCCAATGTATGTCCTTCACTCAAAAAAATTGATTTTGTCATTTGGGAGTTGTAGTTGCTGGGATTTATAGTTCACCTACAATCAAAGAGCCTTCTGAACCCCACCAACGATGGAATCAAACCAAACTTGGCACACAGAACTCCCACGACCAACAGAAAATACTGGAAGGGTTTGGTGGGCATTCACCTTGAGTTTTGGAGTTGTAGTTCACCTACATCCAGAGATCACTGTGGATTAAAACAATGATGGATCTGGACCGAACTCCACACGAACCCCACCAATGAGAAAATTGGGCCAAACTTCCCACACAGTTCTCCCATGACCAACAGAAAATACTGGAAGGGTTTGGTGGGCAGTATCCTTTGGTTTTGGAGTTGTAGTTCACCTACATCCAGGGAGCACTGTGGACTCAAACAATGATGGATCTGGACCAAACTCCACACGAATACTCAATATGCTCAAATGTAAACACTGGTAGAGTTTGGAAAAAATAGAATCTTGACATTTGGGAGTTGTAGTTTCTGGGATTTATAGTTCACCTACAATCACAGAGCATTCTGAACCCCACCAACGATAGAATTGGGCCAAACCTCCCACACAGAACCCCCATGTGGGCCACAGCAACGCGTGGCAGGGGACGGCTAGTATGTATATATTAAAAGCACAGCTATGGTCCTGCAAACAATGAAGCAATTGTGATTTAAGTAGACTAATAATTTCTTGGTTTGTGCTGAGTGTTTACTGTAAGACTTTTCTTAAATTTTAATGAGCCATATCCCAAGAGGCAGGATGTTGGTGAAATTGAGGTGTTTTCGGTTCTAAATTCTCCAGAAATTCTTTAAATGAAGTCTTAATGTGTATTCATACATGCCTGCTTTAAATCCTGGCCATAGGTTAACAGTTTATGGAGACTGCACTTCACATCATGGGACTTCTTTTTTAATGGTCATCCAATAGAGTAATGTCAATGCTCCTGATGCTTTGCAAGGCCTATTAAATTCAGTTCTGATATATTCTTTTTTTACATTACTGTTTCACTGCAGTCAGATTTAAAGATGTTTTCTGCCTGTGCCATGTTTGTAAGGGTTTTCCCCCTCCAGCTTCTTCCCAGTTTGAACAATTTCATAGCATTATGTTAGTAAGTCTAAACATAATAGTGGATTTTTTTTTTCAAATGATGAACTGCGTTGCTTGAGCTATGTCATATAAAGTTCCAGACATGCCTTTTTTTCCTTACTTGGACAGAATGTCAGGCCGTTTCCGCTCCACAGGAGAGCAGTCATAATGAGAGAGAAAGTTTTCATGAAAGTGAGACTGATTCTGGTGCGCATACTCGTCCTGCTCTTTCTTCCGGCTATTCAAAACAGTTTCAGAAATCATTACCACCAAGATTTCAAAGGCAGCAGGTAAAATACTAATATTTATACCATTAAATAACTATTAAATAATAGTGCAGGCATGAAGCCTTAGAAAGCATAATATGTAGATCGGTGCTGTTTGCATCTTCCCAAGAAATGATACCAAATAATTTGCTATAGGCATTCATTGTTCTTAGTAAAGTTTGACTAATCCTGCTTGAAAATTTTAGTAGACGTTTGCCAATAATCCGCCCAGTCCTGGTGTTTGATCAATCTTTAATTTAGTAATAGTTTCACAATGCCTTCTCTTGTAATTGGTTTGTTCAGTAATTCTTTGAAGCTAGGGATCGAACAGAAAATATGCTTGTAATGCACATGATCCCTTACCTCTTCTAGGCTCTAAAATTGCTGTTTCTTTTTGGCTAAAATGGAGCTTCTCAATAAGTTCTCCAATGTGACATTCTCATTGCATCAAAAGTAATATTAATCTTTGTTTTGTGTTTTAGGAGCAGATGAAACAGCAGCAGTGGCAGCAGCAACAAGGAGTAATGCCACAGTCTACACCACAGCCTTCTGGTAGCCCTGTTCCACCCCCAGCACACAGACCACTATATCAGCCCATTCAGCCACATCCACCACATTTGGCTTCTGTGGGCTTTGATCCACGATGGCTAATGATGCAGTCATATGTTGATCCGCGAATCATGTCAGGAAGACCTGCTATGGAAATGCCACCCATGCACCCAGGTATAATTGACACCTCAATTAAAGAGACTTCATTGGCTCCCACCTTTTCTGGCACAAAGCAAACTGTTTGCTTTGGCTTCTTAAGCACTAAGTGTTCGGAAACCAAGCTGCATAAATATTGTCTGTTTGTGCATTAACTAGTACAGTAACTGAGTTCAGAGCTTTTCTTAGGGTACCCTACATGAAGTTAGGCAAGAATCAAAGGGGAAATCTCTTTTGTAAGTGCACCATTGTTATGGTATCTATGTGGGTTAATTATTGTTGTTGATTAAATATCACACAGCTTCATATGGGCTTTTAGTAGTTTTATTTTGATATTTTTTTGCTTCATTGTGCTTATCTACTTAGTTTTTCGTAGTGGGAAACACAAATACAGAAACTTGAAGTTGTAATGATTTCTTGTGTCTTAGTCTTAGGGCCCTTCCACACAGGCATATAACCCAGAATATCAAGGCGGAAAATCCCACAATATCTGCTTTGATTGTGCTTTGATTTCATGGCAGGGGGGTTGGACTTGATAGCCCATATATCTCTTCCAACTCTATTATTCTATGGTTCAATGTCTAGTGTAGAAAATTAATAAATCAATAACCATATTATTTTATTGTGTTATCCTGTCACTTATGTGTTTCTTTATGGCTTCCTCATACTTACAAGACTTATGAGAATGAATAATTAGTAGATTGAGAAAAAACTGAACAGTAGTGTTGCATCACAGATTACACAGTATCATAGAATCAAAGAGTTGGAAGAGACCTCATGGGCCATCCAGTCCAACCCCCTGCTAAGAAGCAGGAATATTGCATTGAAATCACCCCTGACAGATGGCCATCCAGTCTCTGTTTAAAAGCTTCCAAAGAAGAAGCCTCCACCACACTCCGGGGCAGAGAGTTCCACTGCTGAACGACTCTCACAGTCAGGAAGTTCTTCCTCATGTTCAGATGGAATATCCTCTCTTGTAGTTTGAATATGGAACAGTATCAATGATGATACTGTATCAATAATGATACTGTTTCATATCTGAAGGTGGAACAGTTCCGTATCTGAAGGTGATTTCTTCAGACAGTCAGACAACTGTTCTTGCTCAAAAGTGGGTTTTTCACCTATTCTCATAAATTATAGAGGTGAATCCTAACAGTGATGCTTCTTGTGAGTTTAATTGTGGTGGTGGAGCACAAACATATCAAGGCTGGTGATCTCTAGCACAGTTGGAATAGCACAGGGACAATAGCACAGGTACTATACAAACATTTTTTAAAAAAGTATCCGTTTTTAAAATTACTGATACTAAGATATTAGGTTTAATATTTGAATATTTTCATTACAGGAATTATAACTCCTAAGCCACTTCTGAGAAGGGATCAGGTAGAAGGAGCAGGAACTGGTTCAGATTCTTTTGATCATGTCACTCGACCAGCGAGAGAAAATACTATACCACAGTCAGAGCCACACATGATGTGGGGATCAGATTCCTATCCTCACACAGAGCCTCCAGAGACTCCTACGCTTCCAAACCTCCTTGAAGAATCTGAAGATGCAAGGTAAACTACCGGATTAGCTTGTCATAAGCACTTAGTTTTTCTGCACAGTCCATTTGCATCCTGGGTGTTTCAATCATAGCTGTCATTTCCATATTGTAAAAAAGTAATAAATTTATTTTTATTACAGAATTGTATATGGTTTCTTAGAAAGAAGTGCATGAGCCTGCACATTTGTTTGTCTTCATCTGCTAACTGGCAAATAGGAACTCAAAAAATGATCCATTCAACCATGACTGATGTAATACATAATTAAACTCTCCCTGGATCCCTTGGACCATTATAACTACAAACCAGTGTCTAATTTTCCCTTTTTTGGACAAGATGATTTTTCCCTTCCTACACTGTCATATAGAATCCAGATTATCTGATTTGAACTGGATTATATGGCAGTCTAGATTCATATAATCCAGTTCAAAGCTGATAATGTGGATTATCTACTTTGATAATCTGAATTATATGATAGTGTAGAAGGGGTTTGAGAAGGCAATTACCCTCCAACTCCAGACAATCTTCAATGATGCAAACTTCCTTGACCCATTTCAAACCAGCTTCAGGCACATTACGATGTTGAGACTGCTATGGTCACCTTATTGGTCAATCTCCATCTTAATACTTATGGGGAGGGTGTCCCTGTTGGTGCTTCTATACCTCTCAGCCGCTTTTGATACCATCAACCATGGTGTCCTTCTGGAACACCTGATCAAAGGTATTGTGTTGCAGTAGTTCATATCTCTCGTGCGGGTTCCAGATGATGGTGCTTTGGGATAGTTACTCCTCAAAAAATGGAGCTGTTATGTGGCATCTCACAAGGAGCCATTTTATCCCCAATGCTTTTTAATATTTACATGAAAACACTTAGTCTAATGTACAAGAATCTCAATAATAAATGCTGGAAATGTGAAGTACATACTGGAACCTATTATCATACATAGTGGTTCTGTCCTAAAGCCAGAAGTTATTGGAAAATGATACAATAAATAAGTCAAAAAATTCTAAAGGTCAAAATACAGATGAAGCCAGAATACTTCTTCTTAGGAATTACTGATGAGGACATAAAGCTTGAAGAAAATGAAGATATCCTGTTTACATATCTGACGACAGCAGCCAGAATAATATATGCAAGAAAATGGAAATCAAAGGATGTGGCGACCGAAGAAGAATGGCTAAAAAAAGTTTGAGAAATAAAAGATATGGCTAAATTGACCTTCTACCAGAAAGACTAGACAGGAAGACCCATTAAGAAAACTATTTGGCAAAGATTTGAGGAGTTTATGAAAAACTGGACACCAATTACACGCTAGAGATACAGGCGGGAGAAGAAGAAAAAACCAAAAATCAGAAATTTAAGCCGTTTGGACTAAATGAAGAAAGTAGTTCAACACAGAAGATCATGTGGAGAAGAAGTTTGGGAAGCCAGGATTACCCCCCCTGGTCTTTCCCTAATCTTTTCACATCCTGTTTCCCTCCCCCGCTCCTCTCTTTCTTCTTCTTTTCTCTTTCTCTTTCTTTCAGTTTATTCATCTCTCTCCCCATATATTTTCCCTATTTTCCTTCTCCCCCCCCTCCCCAAAGGTCCCTTTTCGCTTTCTATTTTATGTACATTCAATTTGAAAAATCTTTAATTAAAAAAAAACACTGGATGAGATAATTCATAAGCATGGGGTGGTGTGTTATCAGTATGCTGATGACACCCAAATATATTTCTCCATGCCTTCAAAAACAGCCTTAACTTAAACTTAGCAGGTTTCCTCTAATGAATGTGTGAAGGAGGTAATGAACTTGATGAGGACAAACAAATTGAAACTGCATCCAGGCAAGATGGAGGTGCTTGCTGCCAGGGGTCCTAACCTAGGGATGGAGGTGTGTCAACCAATTCTGGATGGGGTTACACTCCCCCTGAAAGATTGTGTTCGCAGCTTGGGAGTTCTCTTGGATCTGTCTCTCCAAATTTCAGCCCAGATAGATGTGACACTAAGGAGTGCTTTCTGTCAGCTTTGGCTGATAGGCCAGCTGTGCCCCTTCCTAGATTTGGAGGACCTGAAGATGGTGCTGCATGCACTCGTCACCTCAAGGTTGGACTTCTGCAATGTGCTTTACATTGGGCTACCTTTGTAGCAAGTTCAGAAACTCCAGTTGGTTCAAAATGCAGCTGCCAGATTGGTTACAAGAGCATCCAGAAGTGAGCATATTACACCGTTACTAAGGTCACTCCACTGGTTACAATTTAGTTTCTGGGCAAATTACAAAGTGTTGGTTTTGACCTTTGAAGCCCTACATGGTTTGGGCCTAGGTTACCTACAGGATCACCTTTTTCCCATAAAATTCACCCCAAATGCTTAGATCTTCTGGTGAAACGGCTACTCTGGCCTGGCAGAACCCAACTGTCAACCGTTACCTAGAGAACCTTTTCATATGCTGCCCCAAGACTGTGGAACAACCTACCAGAAGAGCTCTGACAGCTAAATGATTAGATATTCAGTCACAATTTAAGATCTATCTCTTCAAGCAGGCATACTCAGTCAATTGTAACTTGTGGATTTTAACCTCCATTTTACCTGTGTGTATCTTGTTACATGTGTTTAATAGTGTTGTGTTTTATCACTCTGTTTTAATCCTGTTGTAGCCCGCCTCAAGCCAAAAGGAGAGGCGGGTAATAAATTATTATTATTATTATTATTATTATTATTATTATTATTATCCTTATTAAACTAATAGATGAATTAGTAGATAATCCGCACACAAATCTGCCATTCAAATGTGTGAACTCAATTATTTTTTCAATTTCATATCTTACTTGTCATGACTAATTTGAACTTGAACGTTTGCTAAGTTCTGTATGACATCATAGATGTCATGGCCATCTATGAAAGGTTTATTATAATCATTGATAAGACAGATTCTGTAAAGATGGAACAAAATGATATTCTTACAGTATTTGTATATTAAAATTACTGAATTGGTAACTTTAACGATCATCCCAGTACTTTCTGAATATCTATCTGCTGAGCTAATTGCCATTGAATTTTGAAGTTTTTATGGTACTTGATTCCACAGTTATTTATTTCATTGTACTGAAGTTAAATGTTGCAATAAACGTTTTAAGTGTCTGTTTTGTAAGCCCTTATCAATATCTTAGTTTTTGGAAGTTTCTGACCCTATGTGCTAAATATATTCTATAATTGCTCTTCTAACTGAGTTCAGAATAGCTGTCACCCAAACATATTGTAACTAATTGTATTTCAATATATTCTAAAATGTGGATGGATGGGATCCTTGAAGTGACTGGATTGACCTTGAAGGAGCTTGGGGTGGTGACGGCTGACAGGGAGCTCTAGCATGGGCTGGTCCATGAGGTTACGAAGATTCGGAAATGACTGAATGAATGAATAACAACAAAATGTGGATGTATTGATAAGGTTTTCACTAACTCTGACTTGCTTGCTTCTAGGCCAAGAGCACTTCTGGATCAAGAACAAATGCCTATTCAAGTAGTTTACTCAGAACCAAGTCAGGTGGACTCCCACACAAAGACAGATTGTTTCAAAGAGCCTGGTAAAGTAAATGTACCAAAGTCCACAGAAGAACCTTCTTGCCAAACTGACACACTTGCTCCGTCAATCGACTTTGAAGCAACTGTCGAAAATGTCTTGCAGATCTCCCAGGAGGAGCAGGTGTCTAAAGAAGAGAATAATTCTTTCCCAAGGAAGAGCTTTTCTTATGAATCTAGCCATTCTTTGAAGTCAGAAGAGCAAGGGATTGATGTACTAGCAAATGTTATGAAAGCAAACAGCAGGCACATTGAGCCCAAAGAAGCAATAGTCGAAAGAGTGGAGAACAAACTGAAAAAAGAAGGATTTACCAGTAATAGATTGTCAGAAGGCCCAAAACCGGAAAAACCTTTCAAACCTAAATCTGAAACTCGGTGGGGTCCAAGACCAGGTTATGGCAGAAGAGAAGATGGTAGTGATAGGCCAGTAAGAAGATCTGGTCCTATTAAAAAGCCCATCCTTCGAGATATGAAAGAAGAGCGTGAACAACGAGAAGAGCGTGAGCAGAAAAAAGAAAGAGGAGGGGGGAAACTGATAAATGAGAGAGTTAGCAAGAATGAGAAAAGGGAACAACCTCCGGTGCCATCTCTTAGGCCAGAACCAGAAAAGACTATTACAGGTGACAAAAAGGCATTGCAAGGCACACCCCAAACTTCAGAACCTGCAAAGAATTCCATGGAATCTGGAACTACAGTCGCACCTTCTGGGCAGCCATCCCCTGTTGTCCAGGAATCAACAGTGATAGCACCTGTGGTGCAACATCCCACTACAGCCCAAGCACCCCCACCTGCCGTTCCACAACCACCTAGCCCACAAAATGCAGTTGAACCTCCATCTCTTACTGTCCAACAGTTACCTGTTCATCAGCCTGTCAATACAGTGAAGGAAGAAAAACAGCCAGAGAAAGTAATCAACAAAGAAAAACCTGTTGAGAGACCTCATATAGAAACCAGGCCTGTGAAAAGAGAATCTGGCTTGCCTCCCAGAACATACTGGAAAGAGGCTAGAGATAGAGACTGGTTCCCAGACCAGGGATACAGAGGTAGAGGACGTGGCGAATATTATTCTAGGGGACGCAGCTATAGAGGTTCTTATGGAGGCAGAGGTAGAGGTGGTAGAGGACACAACAGAGACTATCCACATTACAGAGACCCCAAGCCCAGAGTGGAGCATGTGTCTTCTGGTCCTCTCAGACAGAGAGAAGAGAGTGAAACTCGTAGTGAGAGCTCTGATTTTGAAGTAGTTCCTAAACGGCGAAGGCAGAGAGGCTCAGAAACTGATTCTGACAGTGAAGTACATGAAAGTGCCAGTGACACCCTTCTTTCAGACAAAGACAGTTTAAGCAAAAGTAAACATCCCAAAAGAGATGAAAAGGCTGACGTCAAAAGGCCTCCAAAAACCTTGCTCTCTTTCAAACCTGAAAATAATATCCAAGAGGAAAGTAGAATTCTAGATAAAACTTACGGGAAGGACGACGAGAATAAGCCCAAACCAGGTTTTCTTCCTAAAGGAGAACCTTCTCGATTTGGAAGAGGAGGAATGTTTAGACGTGGGAGTAGAGAGCCAGTTAGCCGTCCATCTCGGGCATCTACTCTTAGGAAACCAGGATACAGAGAGAATCAGTGGAATTCAAGACAAACAGAAACCACCAAAGCTGAAGATATAGACTCACAAGGAAGGCATGGACATTGTGGTTCGATACCACTAGATAAAAGACAACCTCCAAAGTTTGAAAGGAAATTTGATCCTGCTAGAGAAAGGCCTCGAAGGCAAAGGCCTGCGAGACCTCCCAGACAAGATAAACCACCACGCTTTCGACGTCTAAAAGAAAGAGAGGCAGCATCAAAAATAAGTGAAGTCACAACTAGTTCATCATCAAGTGCTGTGGTGAGCAATGCCCTTAATGAACAGCCAAGCACTACATTAGATGTTTCAGGAATCAAGACACCAGACTTATCCAATCAGAATTCTTCAGACCAGGCAAATGAAGAATGGGAAACTGCTTCAGAAAGTAGTGATTTCAATGAGAGGCGTGAGAGAGATGAGAAGAAATTAGCAGATGTCATGGCACAGGTAACTGTTAAGGCTGGAGAAAGTACACTAACTCCCAAAAGAGAAATTGCCAAGAGAAGTTTTTCCAGTCAGCGACCAGGGATAGATCGGCAGAACCGTCGTGGTAATAGTGGACCACCCAAATCTGGACGGAACTTTTCAGGACCAAGAAATGAAAGGAGAAGTGGTCCTCCACCAAGAAGTGGGAAAAAAGGGTAAGTCTGTTTCTTATCAGAAAGCTATCAGAAAAAAACAACAACACCAAAAAACCAACCTCCTATTATCTGCTTAGATAACTGATTTTAAGAGATGTGGTTAATCAGGGTTCTTTGACTCAAGAAAGCAGAATATGCCTATGGTTTGTCTGTTGAGGACTTAAAAGAAAATCTTTATGGTGGGAGGCCAATTTTGGGAACCACGTTAACATAAGTGGGCCAAAAACTACCATTACTATTATAAAGTCTTCTGGAAAACAATTACAAGGGAAATATGTACCCAATATATATGCTATGCTTTCTTTTGTTATTTTAAAGTTTAGATTTGTAAGACAAGTCTTTGCATCCTTTTTCTTTTAAAAAATAACACTCTGACATAATTATCTCAGACTATTATCTACTCCGTTATTGAATAACCTGTTTTAAGACTCTTCTGCAAGTTCAGATTTCCTGTATGTTAGGAGGGAGGGTGACACTGAGAGAGAAGGGGAAAGAAACAGACTGAAAAGAGGTGCTGTATCTTTAGACACCTTTGTTTTTAACAAATCTGATGGGTTTTGGCTTGCACTAGTAGTTCAGTATAGCTAGGTTATAAGCTTTTTTCTAACGTATAGCATTCTGATGCATGCCTTAAATAGTGGCATTTTTTTTAAAAAAAAAGATTTCCAAATATCTATATAAATAAAAATGTAATTTTCGTTTGTGGGATTAACTTCATTCAAAAACCACTGGACAAATTGGCACAAAATTTGGACTCTGCACCCCTAACAGACCAACAAGTGACCATCACTCATAACCCCCCCCCCCCCCAAAAAAAAAGCAGTGGAAAGGACTTTAAAACCCCCTAAAGTTAAATGATGATACCGCACATGTGTGAAAACAACTCCCTCCACCTGCTTGAGGGAAAAGAAAACAAACAGCCGCCCCGACTCTCCTTTGCCCATGCCTGTGCTACATCGGAATGCTGCAGCTCTCAGTGGGTCGTCTTGGCCCACAACAGTTCAAGTTGTAACCCCTAAGACGGCGGTAGTTGGGAGGAGCGACAAGCAGACCTGAGGGTGACGTAAGAGCGTAAGGAAAGTGTGTGTGTGTCTGGGGGTGGGGGGTAGTCACTCACCTTGAACATGATCAACCAGGGAAACTTCGCAAGCGGCTCAGACCACGTCTCAAGCCCAGGCCACTGTCTACAGGCACCACAGCAGCCGCCTGGTTAGCTGACCATCTGGCCACAGGCCCCACAATCCATTACTATGCTGCTAGTAAAGTTTTATTCCCTGACTTATTTTTCTGGTACAGACCATTTGAAGAACAGACACCAGTTACGATTAACGCTGAGCTAGTCAGCAACAGTTTGCATCAAGAAGAAGGTACTAATGCATTAAAAGGTTCTAAAGATGCCAACAACAAGAAGCGAGAAGAGCCCAAAGCTGGTCCAAAGAAGCCCAAGGAGAAAGTGGATGCAATCTCGCAGTTTGACCTTAATAACTATGCAAGTAAGTGCTGACATTCTTAGGATTTTTGAAGTAGAATAGTAGCAGTTACCTAAAACAATTTTATGAGTATGACATTATTGATTTATATAAGAGTTAACTTTAGATCCAACTAAAATTTCTGTCTTTTTTGTCTAGGTGTTGTCATTATTGATGACCATCCTGAAGTAACAGTAGTTGAGGATTCCCAGTCCAATTTGAATAATGACGGTTTTACTGAAGTAGTATCAAAAAAGCAACAAAAACGCTTGCAAGATGAGGAACGAAGAAAGAAAGAGGAACAAACAGTTCAGGTTTAACTTTCATGCGTATTATCACTTTGTAAAGATTTTCTTTTTGTACAGAGAATCATAGATTTTAGTCATTTTTCAGGCTGCAAAGAAGTAGCCATCCATATGTAACTTAATTCCTCTGAGTGGCAAGATAGGCTGGGCCTCGTGATTTAAGCTTTTTTTGCCTTCAGAATAGTTTTATTCCTCCCCAGCATTTTTTTCCTCCTGCTTTAGCTCAGAGGAGATGTGCTTCATTTTTCTGCCTGGCCAACCTTTAGCTTACTCTTTCCCCTCTTCTCTCATCTGATTTCATTTGTCTTATGCTCTCCTGTGTTTCATAATCCTTCTATTGGCTATGTATTTTTTTTACTTCTGTTTTTGTTTTAACATTATACACTATAATCTCACACTGAGGAAGAACTTTAGGCCCCTCTTGTAGATGTATCTGTCACTGCTTTCATATCAATCAAGGCGACATTGGGCTGCAATAGCAAGAAGATCCATATTAGATGTATTACAAACTAGCTACTTCCTTGTTCTGAGAGCTTTTGACAAGGAATCATTACAGTCTATTTTGAGTGAAGCAGAACGTTTAAAAGTCTGTATAGGTTTTCATAATAAGAATGGGAAACACACTTGAGAATGCAACAAATAGCCAGCAGACTTGCTTTACCGTATATACTCGAGTATAAGCCGACCCAGCTATAAACCGAGGCACCTAATTTTATGACAAAAACTGGGAAAACATATTGACTCAAGTATAAGCCGAGGGTGGGAAATGCAGCCACTACTGGTAAATTTCAAAATAAAAATATATACCAAGACTGCCCAACTCTGATTAAATCATTATTCTAACCTTCTTCAAGGTGAATGTACTTACGTATCCTTCCAACAATAATAAAGAGAGTAAAATAATAAATGTAATAATAACAATAATAAAGCAAAATAATGGAAATGCAATAATAACAGTAATAATAGAGTAAAATAATAAATGTAACAGTAGAGTAAAGTAATAAATGCAAGAAGCACAATTCAGAGTGCTGGTTTTGACCTACAAAACCCTATACGGTTCCGGCCCAGCGTATCTGTCTGAATTCATCTCCTTCTATGTCCTGCCTCGGAGTTTAAGATCTTCTGGGGAGGCCCTGCTCTCAGCCCCACCTCTATCACAAGTGAGGTTGGCAGGGCCTTCTCAGTGGTGGCCCCTCACCTGTGGAATTCACTCCCCGGGGAAATTAGGTCATCGACATCCCTCCTCTCTTTTAGAAGGAAATTAAAAACATGGATATGGGACCAGGCCTTTGGGTAATCTGGCAGACAGACAAAGGACAAATGACGACTAGGGATTTGACAATGTGGAATGAATTTACGGACGCTGAGCTGGCAAACGTTGAGCGCTAGATTGGTTTTATTGATTATGATGTATAATTGATTGTTTTAATTGTTTTAATTACTGTTTATATATGTTTATTTTTATCTTATTGTTGTGTTGGCATCGAATTGTGCCTTTTGTAAGCCGCCCTGAGTCCCCCCTCGGGGGTTGAGAAGGGCGGGGTAGAAGTGCGAGAAATAAATAAATAAATAAGAATACAGTCAAATAATAAATGTAATAATAATCATAAATAGTGTAAAATAATAAATATAATAATAAGGTAAAATACTGTAAATGTAATAATAATAAAGAGAGTAAAATAATACATGAAATAAAAATAATACTAATAACAGAGTAAAATAATAAATAACCTTGACTCGAGTATAAGCCGAGGGGAGCTTTTTCAGCCTAAAAAAGGGGCTGAAAAACTAGGCTTATACTCGAGTATATACAGTAATTCAAACATGCGTAGTGGGGTATGCTTCCATTCCAGAACAAGATTGCCGTTTTAAGCTCTTCTACTTTTGGGTTTAGTACATCTGAAGCATTTTCTGATTCAGACTTTCAGGTTCAGACAAATATACCTCAGGGATCTGACCAGGGAACTCCTCATAAGCATGTTTCTTTCTTATCTTTAGGTTTGGACAAAAAAGGGTTCAAATGAAAAAGGAAGATGCTCAAATTCCAAGCTGCCACCCAGGTTTGCCAAAAAACAACAGCAAGCAGCGGCAGCTGCAGCTGCTGCTGCTCAACAGGTTCAAGCACCACCTCAATCACAGATACCATTACAGTGTGTATCTCAGGTTCCAAGTCCACAGGCTACAGTTCAGCCACAAACACAGGCAACCTGTCCAGTGAGCAACAGCACAGAATATACTGCGATAAGCAAAAGTCTGCAGGATACATCTTCCCATGTAGGAGCTGAACTGTGGGATAATAAAGTTCCAGCTACAACAGTTCTTGCTGATATCTCTAAAAAATGTAAGGCTTCTTTTCTTACTCATGCAGGCATGTAAGAAAATGTAATATAAATGTGAACATAACCGTAAAATGCCTAAAGTCTTGGAGAGCTTAAATATTTTTTTCTGTATTCCTCAGTTAAACTTGGCTTAGATTTTGGAATTATGACATAGAGAATCAGTTGTGATGTAAATTGATTGTTTGTCAAAGACTGAAGAGGTATAAACATCCCCCAAATGACAACTAATATCACTTCTACCTTCCTGGGCATTTTATGTACTTAACCATTGTTAGTTAGTATTCTACTTGCTTTTTTCTGAAGAAATCTCAAAATACAGTGAGATTTATTTGCTGCTTTGATATAGACCATCTGTATTACTTCCTGAGTAAGCCTGATCTTAATTCCATGCTTTTCTGGGCTAATTCAAGGAAACTTGTTCAGATTGTAGGTTCCATTCTTAACTATAGTAAGATGTTTACAGTCAGCGCTCCACATTGGCGGAGGACCCACATAAAAGTGAAAACCACGAATAAAGAACTTTTATGTGAGATTATGTTTCTATATGAATTGTTAGATTTTCCAGCATGACACTATGGTCAGCTTCTTCTGGAAGCTGATCATACAATCACATTGGAGGACCTAGAGATTTCCAGAGAGGTGTTCTCTCTGGAAATCTCTAGGTCCCCCAGCATGATTAGAGGATGTTGACTTCTACTGGACTCACACTGGAGGAGTTCTTAGAGATTCCTAAGAACATTTTTAATCAACTCTAAGAATAATCTTCAAAAATCAAAACTACAAACGCGGAGGAATGATTGTATTTGCTTTTCCCACAAGTACTAAGCTCCTCAGAGTCTGGCTTATTTGTATTGCACCATTGGTGGGATATGGAAAGATTAAAATGCTCAGCTCCTGACTTACTTATTGTTTTTGTAATGTCTCCTCCCTATGCAGATAATTAGTTTCCTGTCGTAGTTAACTGTGAATCGCACATTGTGGTATTCCTGCGCCCACGCAGGCCAGCGAATTCACAGGTAACTACTCAGGAAACCACGGTTACAGGTAAGCAACCTTCCATTCTCATTCCCTGTTAAACAAAATAATTGGAGATCTATATCTAGTTAGGGAACTCTATGTTGTTTCTGTGAGTGAAGGTTGCAGTTGCTTTACATATAAAGTTGTGGTTGCTTTACCTTTACTAGTTAATGTTTTTCTGACATAATTTCATTTTCTGGATTTTCAGTGGGACCCATTAGTCCTCCACAGCCTCCTTCAGTAAGTGCATGGAACAAACCTTTGACATCATTTGGATCACCTACATCTTCAGAAGTAAGTAACATATGGAAAGCAAACGGGATAAAGCATATTCTCATTGATAACAATATGTAGCATGATTTTTTATTCCTGGGTTATAAATGGCATTTTCTAATTGGTGCTATCATAAAAATATGGAAACAGTTTATTAAACTGCAAAAACTTTGTTTTTGCGGGACATCCTGCAGCACATTTTGCTATAGTTTTTCAGTGACTATCTCATAGCGTCTCGACCAATCCAACATGGTTTGTGGCTGCCACAAAAACAAAGTTTCTGAAGTATAACACAACTGCTTTCAAAGTAAATGCCGTATTTTCTAGCATATAAGACTACTTTTTGACCTAAGAACATCTTCTCAAAAGTCAGGAGTCGGCTTATACGCGGGAGTAGTCTTATGCGCGGGAGTAGTCTTATACGTCGGGTGCTGAAACTTCCAATCCGGATTGGAGAATCTGGATGCTGCATATGGTGGGGGGAGCTCAAAAATGGCAGTGGCCGCGTCCCTGCCGTATGCAGCAGCTGTATGAAAGCATTAAGGGCAACGCTGTACAAGTACGGTAGAAGAAAATCCATTCATCAGGATTCGTGGACTTAATGCAGTCCCGATGATGACATGAAGGGGCGCCTCACAGGYAAGGTGTAAGTGAAGGGCYGAGCAAGCTGCAGGCTTCCGGGGCGCCCGGGGTATGGAAAAAAGAGAGAGAGTGGCTCTGGGCCCAGAAAAACACACCTCTTTTACCTGTCTGGCCTGCCCTTGTAMCCTATTACTGTACCTCCTCCTCTGCCTCTCAGATCTCGCTCCTGAAGACTGCAGTGAAGCGGAGGCAGAGAAGGAGGTACAGTAATAGGAAAATTACCATATTGAAATCAAATCTGATGCTTTAAAATTTTTATTTGGTGTGCGTTATACAGCGAGTATATCTCAAACTCTATATTTTAACTGGAAAAGTTGGGGTCGTCTTATARGCCCAGTCGTCTTATATGCCAGAAAATACAGTACCACACAATCAAACGGGAATAATGTTTTCAAACCAGGAACAGAATTTTTTCAAATTTGGTTACATTGTGAATGGAAAAAGATTGGAAGGGGAGAGGAGAAATAAAAATTTGCCTCTATTTGAACTATCTTGATTGGGCAATTACTGGGTGCCAAAATACTCATTGAGTATTTGCTTTGTTTTTAAAAGCCCAGTAGAATGCACGGAATACACTAAAATACAAATATAACCCAATTTAATACGTTAACGACAACACAAAATTATTTCTCTAAAACATATAGATTACACTATTCTATGAGAGTTCTTCAAAAAAAAATTGTGAATTTTTAAAAACTATTAAGAATTTCAAAAATAAATTGCATCACTTTCTTACATAGTCACCTTCCTTTATGACTATTCCCCAGCATCATATCACCTTTTTAATTCCATCTGCAAAAAATGCTTTTGGTTAAGCGCATAACCATTGATTCACCAGTGCTTTCAGACTCTCCATAGAAATGGACTATTAAGCAAAGAGAACCAAATACTTGGAAAGTGTACGTTTCGTTTTGATGTTTTTTGGACCTTTTGTCCCATGTGTGAACTGCCTCGAATACCTTCTGGGAGATAGAGGCGGGGTATAAAAATAAAGCACCTAACAACTATACTAACAGGAAAAGGACAATCATACCAATGTTTTGTCACTAGTGACATACCATCAGAGCTGTTACAGTTCCCAGTAAGATGCTATGTTTTAAAGAAAATTAATAGGACTCTTCAAGTTTCATGATCATAACTTAACATGATAGTATAATTTGAGCTCCCAGAAAGTATTTCAAGTACTGCACTCCAAAATGAAATCATGCTTGAAGTTCAAATTTTGAATTCTTTGAATCTTCAATAGGGAACAGCAGCTGGCCAGGAGAGTGGAAATGATTTGGGAATAGAAACAATTCAGTTTGGAGCTCCAGCGTCTAGTGGAAGTGATAATGAGGTTGGTCCAGTTTCAGAAAAACCTTCTGAGAAGCTTCTTGAACCAAAAGAGCAAAGGCAAAAGCAGCCTCGGGCAGGCCCAATAAAGGCACAGAAGGTAAGCGAAACATCTATCTTTGATACCCTGAGGGCTAAGAGTGGGCATTGGGAGAGCGGGAGGAATCTTCACTTGATTATATGGAAAAAAAATGATTGATGTCATACTTATGCAAGAAGGAAGGAAAATTTTGGTTCCTGTGTAGCATGTGCATATATCAAAGTCCTACCTTTGGTTGTGAAATTTTCAAAGTGTTGTAATTGTTCCTGCATGTATTTAAGAAACATTAAGTACAGAAACTTCATGTTCAAAAGCTTACCTGTACAGTAGAGTCTCGCTTATCCAATCTTTGCTCATCCAATGTTCTGTATTATCCAACACAGTCTGCCTCCCTCCTGGATCCATAGCTTTTTCAAAACATTGTGATGTTTTGGTGCTAAATTCGTAAATACAGTAATTACTACACAACATTGCCATATATTGAACTTACTTTTCTGTTGATTTGTTGCAAAACATGTTTTGTCGCTTAGTTTTTAAATCATAATGTAATTTAACATTTCATAGGCTTTTCCTTACTCTCTTCTTATTATCCAACATTTTCCAAAATTCTGCCGGCCCGTTTATGTTGGATAAGCAAGACTCTACTATATATTGAAATAGAAATGGCCTTATAGTTAGTGGCTTTAAATAAGTTATATTATCATTATCTTTTCCCTTTAGTTTTGTTCTTTCAGATAAAATAAAGGATGAATAGTCATCAGGCATTTAAGTGTTTGAAATTCTGTATTTTTTACAAAATCGAGATTCTCAATACAAATTGTGTTGGTCAGGTGAAAACAGGAATCCAAATATTGAATCTTTTGTGTACTTCTAAAAATGGCTTCATTCAAGCTTTTTTACTTCATTACAATACTTATATTTGATTAAATACTTCCGTGGCCTGTGGTTCTAGTGATAGTTGTAACTGCCATTTCATTGAGGTGTACTGAGCTTTACATTCCACATATTGAATAATTTTGGATTTAAATATATATGTTTAAATTTAATTTGAAACTGTAATTGAACAACTAACTTCATTAAGTATAATCTACTTGTTACTTCTATTCTCATCCAATGGAGAAGTAGCCTTCTAAGCATGGAATAATTCATGTTGCCACCCCGGTGAGGCAAGGGATCACATTAGAGTTTGTTTGTTTGTTTGAAGCCAGGTCCTTTTTTTGTAGGATCCCTGGCTGCTCCTTCATCTTTTTCATCTTGTCTCACCTAGAAAAGGTTGTATTTGTACTCCACATTTTCTCTGGTCTGTTTTTCCCCTTATTTTCACTTGTATCTATTTCCTGCTCCTGTGCAGTTTTGGAATCTTCTAGAAAGCTCTTTGATACAGAAAGGCAGTAGCTCCGCCCACACTTCCCATATAGTATATAGCCAGTGGGAGGGGCTACTGCCTCAGTTCCTTTTGTCTGCCTTTGTCTGCCGCTGTTGCAACCCTGTACCTTCCCATAATGCTTATTGACATTAGGATTCTTTTTCATTCCCTCATATTTTTCCATCCTTCTACACTGCCACTCCTTACTCCTGCATTTCCTCTTTGTATTTTCCACGTGTTCCTGGGGACAGGAAAAATCAAAACTAAATTGTCTTAAGGGCAGCTTTGCCTTCAAGTCTGAAATTACCCCGAAGTACATCTGGATTATCCAGAACTACTAGTTCCCTCCCTTGAGAGACATAAAAATGTGCACCTGTCAGCCATCTCAATTCTCTCCTCCGGAACCTCTGGCATTATTCATGAGAAGGACTTGACAAAGATAGATTTTATGCCCCTGGAAGCAAATCTTAGTCCAACCAACAATCTTGACCAGGCAAAGGCTACTGAGATCTTTTCAACCCTCCATCACAGAAACTTGGAAGCAGCTACCTCTGAGTGTGGACTTTCTGTTTAAGGGGGCAGTTGAGGGAACTAAACCAAGCACAGTGGCCACTTCCACCTTCCTTAGTGTAACTCCCAACGATTCAAGCATCGGTGGTGCTATTTATTTTTTTATTTACTTACTTACTTACAACATATCTACCCTGACTTGATGCCTCCCTAGAAGTGACTTGATGCCTCCCTAGAAGTTGCAAAAGGCACCAGATCCAAAATGCCGAGGCCTAAAGTATATTTTTAATGCCCTTTTGTGACCAGGACTTAGGTTACATTTTCTCACACTGGTAGCCAAACAAATTCACCCATTAAAGAAATATGTTAAAAGACCAAGAATTTATTCCACATATATGAGAGATGTAGTAAGAATTTGTTGTATTTGAGATTGAATTGCATTTTTTTTCTGGATGACCAGCCAAGATAGGCAAGAAAGCAGGTTGTCCTCCTCACTTGCTCCAGCAGCTAGTCCTCAACAACAGTACTAAACAGTTGATACAGATCCAGTGTAATCTCACTCACAGAGTTGCTGAACACCTCATTATTGACTTCTGCTCCAATGACAACATCTAAATCGAGATATATTATCTGTAAAATGGACACAGTGAGCTACTGAAGGTTCTAATAATGGATACAGTGGATTAAAACCAAAGAATACAGGAATGAATAAACAATCAAAAGCAAAGAAAGGAAAATACAAGAGATAAACAATAAGACATTAATACAATAACACTTATACCAGTCATTGAGGGTGTTTCTAGTCAAACAAGCCAAATAGTTGGCTTGTCTGGCAGCATCCTGACTGTATAACTTTGGTTCTTTGTGTGGTCATCTGTTAACTCACCCATCCTTCTCCCTACTTATGCCGTTGATCTTCTAATAGATTTTCCATACCTCTGTCGTGGTGTACTCTGGCATAGGGGAACTGAGGAACAGATCAATAATGCTGATGCACATTGTTAGAAGAGGGGGATAGAGGCCACTCAAAATCACTTTGTTTAGCTATATTTTTTCTGAGCAAATCTGCACTGGCACAAATCAGATCTTTCTATTAGAGTTCACAGATTGCCACTTCAAGAACCATAGTTACATGTAAGCAACACGTTCTTTCCCCTCCATCCTAATGAGATGGATTAAGTATATATTTTTGTGGCCAGTGAGTCTCAAGCTCCCCAAATCATAAAATGTAACACAACATTCAGCCAGATCAGCAGTTACATCAGCAGCTTTCTTGACCAATGCTCCATTTAAGAAAATCTGCAGAGCCTTAACCTTGGCTGTGCCCTCTACTTTAACAAAACACTATAAACTAGATAAATTTGCTTCATCTAGGGCCTCCTTTGCCCACAGGGTTCTACAGCAGCCCCTGCCAGCAGGATTTCCCTGCCTGATTCCTGTTTTTATGATTAACATAGTAGGATGGCTTCTTCTCCACCAGCTGAGGATGGCACATTGGAGAACTTACCATGAATGCCCATTCTCACCGAGGAGAAAGAGCCATCCATATCCGACCTAGGGTGGCAACACTCCCACTGTCCTATTCTTCTTCTGAGGACTCTTCTCTATCTTTCCTGTACTCTTGGCTAGGGAATGAATTGAAGGAGAGACCATGGATCCTACAGAAAATGACTTTGCCTAAAGAAATAATGTGACCTTGCCTGAGCAGCAACAGGAGTTAACCCATACTTGGGTGGCTCTTTCTTCTTGGCTCACCGTAAGTCCTCCAGTGTGCCATTTCATCCTGTGGCATTCAGCATGCCAAACATGTAATACTGATTTTTTTCTATTTATTTATTTTTAGCTTCCAGATATGAGCCCAGTAGAAAATAAAGAATATAAGCCATGCCCCATTGGGAAAGAGCGGTCACTAAAGAACAAAAAAGTAAAAGAGGCTCAGCAAGGCAACTGTGAGGTACAAGAGAAATCCAGTCCTCCTACAGTCCAAAGTCCAGAACCTATTCCTTCAAAAGAAACCAATGCAGCTGCTGAGCTTGGTACTGACATGGGAACAATGATGTCTGTATCTGCTCCAGAATTTGAAGCAGCCCAGAAGGTAAGTGTAGTGATTCTTACCTCGTAGGCCGAAAAGGAAGCCTGGATAACAGTATGGCAATCCTCCATTTTGAGAGTGTATGCCAGGGAAGCAGCCGTCTTGAGTGAGGATAGCTAGAAGATGGGAGGAGTTTGGAGTCTCCTGGGATTGGCTAGAGCAGATGTGAGGAGCCAAATCTTAGGAGGGAAAAATATTTCAGCTTCTGTGGAGATGAGGATTGGGAGCTGGTGGGAAAAGAAGTGTTTTTTGAAACTGGGTTTTCACAGAGAGAGCGTCTGTGTCAGGCAGGGCTGATTAGCTGACAGGAAGTGTCAGACAGCTACCTGATTTCTTGTGGGAGGTAGCACAAGGGATTAGCTCTCTAGACTGAGTTAGTTAGCTGGAAGAACTCTGGGAGAGTTAGCTGATAACTCAGGGGACTACCTAGGTTAGGTTAGTCAGTGACTCATTACTGTTTCTCTGAAGTAGAGTGAGGGATTTTTGTAACCAGTAGCTATATCTGTTTGATTAGCTCTGTATGTAACTCAGTGAAGAAACTTATTTCAAGCAACCATCAAGCTATAGTTCACTTTTGTAACAAGTCAAACGTTTTGTGCCTCTCAGAAGAAGTCAGTTGTCTTTTTTTATAAATAAATCTTTTTCTATTCAACTTTCAAAAAGGTCTTGATTGTTCCTCAATCTATCAGTAATCCTTTGTGATAATTCTAGTATTTTTAACATCCTAATACCACAGAAAGATCTCTTATCCAAACAGTCATTTTGGGAGCTAAGAGGAGAGCTGTGTTGGCAGAGAAGGGAAAAGTTTACCTCAAAGACACATTTTAAAAATCCTAAGGCAGCTTGGGTTGGTGGCAGCATTAAACCAAAAGAAGACGGAAGCAGTGTTCACTCTACCATTACACATTCTATCTAACATCAACTCGCTACCATACTATTGTCCAGTAGTGGTATATTACATATAATCCTTTACAGTTGTGTTCAGCTGTGGGATATATTATGGTATATACTTTATACTGGTGGGATGCTTGGTGTTAGATAACTGTGCACTTCTCTATAATTGGTGCCAGTGGTGAGATTGATATTGTGCACTTCTTTATAGTAAGCAACAATTGAAGTGGCTGTCTAGCCTAACTCACCAGTGCCAAGTAAATATAGTTGTAACTGAATACAACTCAGTATCATCCACCAATATAACTGTTGCTGTCAGCAGAACCTCTGTATGTGTGTTCATGTGTGTGCATGAATCCCACTTGCAACTCCAGGATACCCCACTTCGCTATCCGCTTCCATCCTCTAGTAGTATGGCAAACATCTGTAAATGATTTGCAGGCAATGAAATAATGGAAAGTTCTGTTGTGCTAACAAGTCGGTCAGTAGCACAACATTAAATTTGGCTCCAAGATGATAGGTTAAAGAAAGAATGGAATTATCTATTGATGGCACATCTTAGTTAAATAATCTAAAGCAAGATTCTTGCATTCATATAGACTACAGAATTTGAGATGAAATATTACGATCATATATGGTATTATTAATCTGTGTGGTTTTAAAATGTCATTTACTTTAATTTTAAATCAGTTTCTTCCTATTCTTTGGTACTATCATGTAAGGTTAATTGTGAGAGTGTTGTTAATGTCCAGGAGTAAGACAACATGAATGTTGTGTTTCTTCTTGTAGTTGTTTTTAGGAACATTTAGTGAGCTGTTTTAATTTCTTTATGGTTGTCTGACATTTGAGCAAAGGGAAGCAGAGTTTCCTCTATTTGGTGTTCTGTAAAAATCGCAAATATGGAATTTTTCTGCGCATGCACAGCATTTCGGATCCTTCTAGAAAACATTTCATGACCATGTCATGTATCATATCTCCCACCTTATTCTATGAAAGCAACGATTCCAAACGCTTAAGCCTGAAATGCTATCTAGTTCAGGAATATTGCCTGAACTTTACTTTTGATTGGACTTTTGTGATAGAGTAAGCTAGAATATAATGTGTGTTGCCTGCCCTTCAGAGCTGTTAAATTATCGACTGAACTATCTTAATCCTCCCCTCTTCATTCCACTATCAATGAAGCAACTGACTCTTATTATCAGAGTCATAGTTGTTATTTCTATTCCCATAGAAAAAAGTTGTTTATAGACAAATGGTTGCAGAGAATTTTCTGAGATGTGTGTTTGAGGAAGATCTTTGGTATTAAATTTTGTGATAGAAAATAAAAAAGTATAACTATAATAAAGTGAGCAAACACATACATTTTTTAAAAAAATCACATCAATTTACTTTCTAACTAGTACAAAAAAAATTACACATGATAACAGAAAAAACCCTATAAATACAAAAAATAAAACACACCAACATACTCACTTAATATTTATAGGTATTTCCATTTTGTTTATTAATATCTAGACTAGAAGTCCTCCTTATAAGCAGAGGGCCAGTTCATGGTTTCTCAGACTGTTTGGGGGGACGGGACTGTATCTGTCCACCATTATAAATTCATTTTAAGGGGGGGGGGTCCAAAGGAGGTTAGGAGGAGAAAGAGAGTTCTCTATACACTTGTTGTCATAGTTTAAGGTGGTTGGTGACTAAAGTTACTGCCCCCTAGGTCTGTTGGAAAGTTACGGCCCCCAAGGTCTGTTGGAAAAAAGGCAAGTGAGATTTATATATCTGTGGAATGGAATCAGCCAAGCTTTGAATCTGCAAGGCTATTCAGTGCTAATCAAGGTGGCCAATTGCAAGTTACACTTGCCTCCAACAGACAGACAAGAGATCTTTCTCCCAAATTGAACTTTCCACAGATATATAAACCTCACTTGCTTAGTTTCCAACAGACCTCTCAACCTCTGAGGATGCCTGTCAGATGTGGGTGAAACATCAGGAGAGAATGCTTCTGGAACATGGCAATACTGCCTTGAAATCTCACAGAAACCCGGTGAAAAATAGTGCTATTTTTAAAAGTTTAAAATTTGGAACAGAAAAAAATCTGCTCGATAGATTGTGTCATTAGAACATTTTAATGTATGAAGTTAATAGCCAAGTTACATTTCTAATAGATGTTCTTGAGGAACTGATTTTTAAATAAAAATAAAATGTGATACTGAAAATTTCCATTTGATTTTAATTGTTATTGTGTCTTCTCTCCTATTCTGTTTTAGAAGCATTGAACTGTTTCAATATTGAATGTTTTTACTGCACTTTGTTTGCCCTGGGAGCTCAAGTAGAAGAGTATAGGTAGTCTCTAGTATTACTTTATGTGAACATATGACAGCTTGCAAATTAGATCTATTAACAGCCATCTCAGAATAAAGTAATTCCTCTTTTTGAACAGATGGAATCTGCTCGCAAAGCATGGGAGAATTCACCAAATGTGACGGAGAAGAATTCACCAGTGACTTCAGCAGCTTCTCCTGTTACTGGTGGCAATAGTAGTGGAAGTGGAGGTGGGAACAGCAATAGTAGCAGTGGACCAACCAGTGGTACATACAGTTCTTTCTCAAGTGCATCAATGCCTCCCATTCCTGTGGCTTCAGTTACACCTACAACATCATTGTCAGGTAAACACTTTTTGATTGTCCTAAAAGTTACTTGGTCCTTTGCTAAGTTATCAATCTATCCTTGTCCCTCTCTTGGGTATGAACTCGTGTATAAGTCAACCTCATTGGCTGGTTCTTGAGCTCCCCATCTATTTATACAAGAGACTTGATCATCCACATTTTTCAGTATTCACACAAAGTTCCTGTGCATCCTGAGTGCCCACTGTACTGAGACAACCAGCATTGTGTTTTTCTCAATTAAAATTGGAGGGATACTTTAAAGTACTTCAGATTTTTGTCTGTATTGACAAAACAGAGGTTGTTTTCCTGCAAAAAGAAGAACCTATTCTTCCAAGTAGTATAGAATGAAGATTTGCTCTTTCAAGGCTACTATGAATCTTTCTCACTCCTCAGTCTACCATTTTGAAGTAATAGCTCTAAAAAGCTTGATAATCCTTAAAAAGAAACCAAGCTGTAGTCTCTTTTGTGGATAACTGACCCAAAGTTTTTGCCATAATTTTACCTGGATACCTCTAGACTTTTGGTCTGGTTGTATTGTAAGCTGCACAAACTAGTGCATATTTCGTCTAATGTTAGTTTAGTTTTATTTTCCATCTTTGAATCCCAGGAAGCTCAGGAAATCTTGAAAAGAGCTATCTCATGGGAAAGAAAAGGGCAAATATTCTAAAGTTCAGTCAAGCCAAATGGCATGTCCTGTGTGTAGGGAAATAAGTAAACTGGATGGGGTACATGTGATTCTGGATGGAATTGCATTTCCTTGGAAGGACCACATTCACAACACTTGCGGTCTTTAACACTGTCTGCAGAAGGCATAAGTAGTAGTGATAGTCAGAAACGCCAGGATAGAATATCACTCATGATCCCGCATCATGAAAGCTGACCTAAGATTTGATGAAATATGCACTGGTTTGATTCAGACTGCGTTGTGATGAATTGCCTTTGCAGGTGACTTTTAATATTTAAGCATAAAATACACCATCCAGTCATTCAAAGTTCCACAGGATTCTTCATCAGGCAAAGATGTTAAACGAAAATGACAATGTTAGAGTTACAAGTCTACATTTTGCCTTGCTTTTTTGTCCGTTAAAATAGTTTGGAGGGATGCAGGCAGAGGCTTCACCTTTCTTTGGTAATCAAGCAATATAATTTCAACTGAATTGGCAACAATAATATTGCAATATAATGGTATAGTGCAATATAGTAATATATAACACTGATATTGTACTATGTTAATAATATAATATATTGTATGAAAATATATCTTGTAAACTGCTCTGAGTCCCCTTTGGGGTGAGAAGGGCAGCATATAAATGCCGCAAATAAATAAATAAATAAATAAACAGAAACCGTGGCTTCTGCCCTATAGGCTATCATAAGTGAGAGAAATAAGCTGGCAGTACAAGCTTCAGTAGACTAACTCTAATTTATCAGGTGTTAATTGCTTTTCTATTTGTAATTTTAGGAGCTGGAACGTACACCACCTCTTCACTCAGCACAAAAACCACTACCACTTCTGACCCACCCAATATCTGCAAAGTGAAGCCACAGCAGTTACAGACAAGTAATTTGACATCCGCCAGTCACTTTTCCCAGCTGAATTGTATGCCATCGCTAATTGCCCAGCAACAGCAGAGTCAACAGGTCTATGTACCTCAGTCAGCAGCAGGTAATGCTACGTGATATTCATGACAATATATTTGAAGGTTATATGCTTGTTCCCCCCCCCCCTCTCTTTAGGCAGGGTTAATTAAATTCTCAACTAGTAGAGGAGTAGTCCACACAGCAGAGGGTTAGCTCCTCCTACTGAACATAGTTTCCAAAGTAGGGAGGAGGAAGCCTTCTCTGTTCTTGACTTTGGCTATTTGGGCCAAATTTGTGGAAGTTTTGGACTTACTCAGCAAGCTTCTCTCTGTGGCCCAAAGTGGGGTAGAAAATGCAAACACAATTGTGCCTCTTCCACACTCTGAGGCAGAGAGATCCACTGTTGAACATCTCTTACGGTCAGGATGTTCTTCCAAATGTTTTCCTGCAATTTGAATCCATTACTCTGATGCTCATGTGAGGCCGCGCTGAGTCCCCCTTGTGGAGAGAAGGGCGGGATATAAATATATGAAATAAATACATAAATATGATTTCCTTGATCTCTAAACTCTATATGCCTAATGATGCAGTCTAGAATTGCATCAGCTTTTTAGCTACCGCATCACAAGTGACTCTTATTCAGTATGTTGTCTACCACAATTCGTAAAGCCCTTTCACATGTTCTGTTTTTACACCAGGTGTCACCCATCCATTATCTGTTCATTTTATTTTTATTGCCAGTGTGTAGTACCTTATATTTCTCTCTGTTGAAATTCATTTTGTTAGTTTTAGCCTAGCTCTCTAATCTGTTCAGGTCATTCTGTATTCTGATCCTGTTCTCTGGGGTATTACAGATTCTCCCCAATTTAATGCCACCTGCGAATTCAATAACCATGCCCTATATTCCTCTGGTGAGTACCCTTTGGTTTGGCCAATTAACCAATTCCCAATCCACCTAAGAATAGCATTGCCTAGCCCACCCTTTACTAGCTTCTTTGTGGGAATTCCATGGGGGCCCTTGTCAAATGCCTTACTGAAATCAAGATATGCTACACCCACAGCATACCCTTCTTCTACCAAGCTTGTAACTCAATATTAAAAAAAGAGATAAGGTTTCTGTGTCATTCCTTGTTTTTGAGAAATCTGTGTTGACTTTTTGTGAGTACAGCATTCCTTTCTAAGTGCTTACAGATTGTCTTTTTAATGATATCAGGTTGACTGGGAAATCATTTGAAAGATTATAGGGGAGCTTTTTTGCCTTTGAACTTCCTGTTCCCTCATACTTAGACAAACTAATATACTTCTTATGCTAGTTAACTTACACTTATTTACTGTTTCCCCCTGTTGTTCTATAGCTCAAATTCCAGCTTTTTATATGGATACAAGCCATATTTTCAACACCCAGCATGCACGCCTGGCTCCACCTTCACTGGCTCAACAACAAGGATTTCAACCAGGACTTTCACAGGTATTTTTGACAGGATGGTAAATTCCTAGACTCCAAAATTTATGCAGACTTCTATGAAGCTCTAGCCCAGGCATGAGCAAACTTCACCCCTCAGGTGTTTTGGATTTCAATTCCTAGAAATCCCAGCTATCTTACCAGATATGAGGAATTGTGGGAGTTTAAGTCCAAAACACTTGAGAGGCTGAAGTTTGCCAATGCCTAGTCTATTGCCCCCTCCTCAGCCACACTCTTTTCCTTGACACTCTCACAGTCATGTAGACCTAGAAAAAAAGATCTTTTTGCTGCTAATGGGAACTTTTAATCCAGGGGTCCTCAAACTAAGGCCTGGGGGCCAGATGTGGCCCTCCAAGGTCATTTACCCGGCCCTCGCTCAGGGTCAACCTAAGTCTGAAACCACTTGAAAGCACACAACAACAACAACAACAACAACAATCCTATCTCATCAGCCAAAAGCAGGCCCACACTTCCCATTGAAATACTAATAAGTTTATATTGGGTAAAATTGTTCTTCATTTTAATTATTGTATTGTTTTAAAGTGATTTTTGCACTACAAATAAAATATGTGCAGTTTGCATAGGAATTCATTCATTTTTTTCAAATTATAATCCAGCCCTCCAACAGTTTGAGGGACTATGACCTGGCCCTCTATTTAAAAAGTTTGTGGACCCCTGCTTTAATCAAAGCTTATTCGCTGAAAAAAGTAAGGAGATGTCATGTTATTATAGAAATACATGAATAGTGAGAGTTTCTTATAGGATATGTGGAAGGATAATAGTTATCACTATTAAAAGTGAGACATATTGCAAGTGAGGGTTCATCTATCTATTGTGGATGTCACTGTCCAGTTAAACTGAATTGTAGCAACAACCAGTCATCATAGTAGGGCATTTATTTATATTAAAAAAGGAGGCATACTATTACGAAGGTTATGCTTATCAGTTGGAGTGCCTGCTCCACTCTACAGTTTCTGTAAGTCGAGATGGGCAACAGACAGGGTGGATATTAACACAGAGATAAGTAGTTAAGGTATTTATGTTCAGCTTTTATTATTAACAAAGTCAAATAACCCCAAATAGACCACTCAATCTTTAGTTTAATGAAATTACAGGAACAGAGATAATCAATTACTTTTTGTATCTATAAATTTGTGAGCCAGGGTGGTATAGTGGTTTGAATGTGTGACTACAACTCTGGAGACCAGGGTTCAAATTTCTGCTTAATCATAGAAGGATACCTGGTAACCTTGGACAAATTGTATTCACTCAGGCCCCTTCCACAATGTGAAATATCCCAGGATCTGATCCCAGATTATCTGATTTAAAAATGGATTATATGAGTCCCCACTGCCAGATAACCTGGGATATAAGGACAGTGTGGAAAGGACCTCAGCCCCAGGAAAGCAAAAACAAAACAAAAACAAAACCTCCTTCTGTATATTACAAAGTTTTCCGTAAGGTGGCCATAAGTGGGAAACTACTTAAAGGCAAACAGCAGCAACAACAAATCACTATTTTTATTGTTTAAGTTAATTAAATTAATTCTAAATGAATTTATAGTACATCATGGTAGAGAGAGATGGGTAGAAACTGCTAGAACTCTGGTTGCTGACAGCAGGTACTATCAGAGAAGGTTTTACCTTCTGGCATTTGAGGAAGGCTAGGAAAGATGTGTCTCACTTGTTTGCTAAAGAAATATAGATTCTATACTGTTCACTGAATTGTATTTTGTAAAATCTGTTGTTTCTTTCTATGCTGTTAAACTTTTGCTTTCATTTTAGCATTGCTGTGATGGATTGCTTGCTTATTAGCTAAAGTGACTGTGTTAACAATTAATTGATTTAAAGCACTTTGAAATAATTTAAGGCATTCGCCCCATTTACTTCTGATTTAGGAAAAAGGCCACCTCCGTCTAAAACAGATACGGAGGATGTGGTTAAATTGCCTTCCACAGTGCCTATTGGGCATGAGGAAAGTTTTTCAGAAAAAGTATTTTTATAAGGAAAAATATGGCAGCTTGGTTATGTTTCAATGTGCCCACCGTGCTTTGAGCCCAAAATCACATATAAAAGCTGCAGGACTTTGTGTTCCTTTGTTCTTTCTGACAGTGTGTGATGTGCCTGCACAGTTATTAAAGAAGGCTGTAGGCCAGTACTGTAGAGTGCTTGGTTTGCATGAAAACATGTCAATGCCTTTGATGAAAATATCACAAATAATAGGACTGGAAAGACCTCAAGAATCCACCACAAAAATAGACAGGCTCACTGGAGTTACAATAAAAGAGCTTCGTATGTCTTGGATATTTTTAGCTTACCTATCCAAATATTATTTCTTTGTTCCAGCCTACTTCAGTACAGCAAATCCCAATTCCAATATATGCACCACTGCAAGGCCAGCATCAAGCTCAGTTGAGTTTAGGAGCAGCTCCTGCTGTGTCCCAAACTCAGGAATTATTTAACTCTTCATTGCAACCCTATAGGTAAGTGTTTTAGAGGATCGAACACAAAATATGTATTCAGAAACTCTGCAATTGGTTCTCTTAAATGTGTCTGCATCCTTGCTTATTCTATTTGTGCTTATTAGCACAGCCAAGCTTTTAAAACTGCATTGAATTACTCAGAATTAAACAATATCATTATGGCCCAGGTAGGAAATGCATCTAGAATGTCACATCCAATAAAAATACAGCTCAGGTAGTGTTCACAGCCTCCTGGAAACAGTGAATGAAAATGTTGTTTCTTTCATTTGCTGAATAATTGGTTTAACAAGAAGGAGGAGAATTACCTTATTCTGCACAGCAAGATGAGTCGGCCAGACACAAAATGTTATTCCTCCTGAAGACAATTGCAGGCGCTAGTTTCCAAAACAGGCATGAATGAAGTTTGTGGATTGTTTGCCTTTGTTTGCTTGGAGATGGACTAAGCACTCACTTTCGCCAATCTAGACAGAGATGGTTCGTTTTTGGATAAGAGTTACATTGATCAGTGATTCATCCAACCCAATTTTTTGATGTTAATTTCTTGACTAAAAGTTTAGGCTTGTACCTTAGTATATACAGTAAATGCTTTTTAGCAAATGTACAACAAGTTGAGCTGCTACTCTGCAGTTAATAGCTACATGGCTTTCAGATGTGTTTTCCAGATCTTTTATTGGAGTACTGTAAGCAGTATGAAAAACAAAATCTGCTATTGACATAATTTTGTTATCTGAGTTGGTGAGAAGAGGAATCCACACCATTTTGGTTTCTCCATTTACCACCCAGAGATATGCAGGAAAAACAACTGAAGAGTTGTGATAGCTAAACACAAAGAGACTTTGGTGACTGGTTCCTAGAACCATTTTCTTCTCTTTTTTTTCTGTGAATGTCATTTTTAATCTTGGCTAGTAAGAGAACTGATCACTAGAATGATCAAATCGGAAGAGTCATCAAAGTAGTTGTTTTTGGCTATTGTGATACCAAAGTTATTCTTCCTGCCTGTCTCTGGGTGGTGATGAATTAACTCAAGTTATATGGATTCCTTCTCTCGACAACACAGAATGCACCTTCATGGTAAGTACTTTGACAGTTTGCCATACTTAAGTGACAAAACCATACAGGTATGTTTTATTGATTAGCCCATCAGCCATATCAAAACATTTGACACACATTTAACACATACAGCATACAATCCACAGTACAACAAAAGCCATACTTAAGTAGATTTTTCTCTAATTGTTTTTCTATAATAAGATGGGGCACATACTTACCTTGTGGCATTGTCTGTTCTAATTCAGTTCATCTTTCATTTCAGAGAGAGGTTTTAATCATATTTGAATGACTAATTCAATCTACCTTTGTTTCATAGATCACAACAGGCATTTATGCAAAGTGGCTTATCTCAACCCTCACCAGTTGTTCTTTCTGGTACAACCTTGCACAACTTCCCAACAGTGCAACATCAAGATCTTGCTAAGGCACAGACAACCCTTGCATTTCAACAGACATCTAATACTCAGCCTATTCCTATCCTGTATGAACATCAGTTGGGTCAACCTTCAGCACTGGGAGGCTCTCAACTTATTGATACGCATCTACTCCAGGTCAGAGAGACAGGCCTCCTCAGGAAGGTTACTGAAAAGTTGAAATTCCTTGGTGCATATAGTGTTGTGTGATATTGGGTATATCTGTAATTCTTCTTATTGTAAATAGTGATTATGTTACATGTTATATCAGGGATATCAGATTTTGTAATCATGCAAAATGAATTTTCAATGTATGATTTTTTTTCTGTCCTATCCACACTTATGTAATACTCTCATAGTATTTTAATATTTGGCACATTACTTGATTGAACCCTTAGCAAATTGTCCCACTCCAGGACTGATTTTAGCAGCTGCCAGGGCACTTCATGCAAGAGAGCTTGGATCCGTAAATTGCCCACCATTTTAATCCTGTATTTCTTCAGTTGTAAGATGCTATTAATTGTAAAATGCACTCTAAATTCAGTATCGACACCAATAAACATACAAAAATATATAAGATACAACTGCAATTCTAGTTTTAGAGATGTTTATATAGGGGAAAAGAGTGTCTTAGAAAAGAACAAAGACAGTAATTTGCAATGGTCTGGCATAACATCACTTTGAGATCCACTGTCTCCTCAGATCAAAAACTATTTGCTAGCATTGTTGAGGAATTTAAAATAGTGAACAGCTCATTACCATCTGGGTACAGATCACAGTACTGCAGATAAACTATCATCGTTATTGGAGACGTTCTGCCAGGAGCCACTTTGTCAAGGGCCCCAAACAGAGCAGCACCCAGTCCTTGCCAAATTTTGAACCTGTATGTGAATGTTGAGGCCTACGGTTTCATCAAACAAAAGCTATTTGGTGGCATTGTTGATAAATGGGTGTAGATCACAGCACTGTAGAACAACTGTTAGTCATTATTGGAGGAGTTCTGCCAGAGAGTAATTTGTCAGGACCCATCCTGGCCTCCTCCAGTGCCCCAGCAAAGACAGGAAGTAGATGACATAAAGCTCATGGAGGTCCCAGTTAAATTTAATTTCATATCCTGAAAGGTTCTGGTGTTTGATTGATTCACCCATTGAAGTGGTTATACTTTCATATAAGAACTTACCTCTATTAGGTAGCTGTACCATGCTTGTATTACTCCTCTTGGCAAGATATACTTGAAATAGTTTCATTTATCTGTGATTTAAATCATCCAAGTAGGTGTATGTGTCTGTCTGTACCAGAGGCTGTTGCTAGTTGACAACAACAACAACAACAACTTTATTATTGTACCCCACTTCCATCTCCCTGAAGGGTCTCAGGGTGGCTTACATACGGCACAAAGTACCTAAGACAAAGCATTAAACAAACACAATATAATACAATTAAATAAAAACTATAGCATATAAAAACAACAATTTAAAACAATCTAGGGGCCCGTTATCATGTCACTAGATTGGCTGTTGCAAGGTGAAGAATTGGCTTTTGCTAGGCAAAGTGGCCCTCTGTGATGTAACTGTGAAAGGTGATATGTTAATGAGGGGAAGGGAGGAAGGAAGGAAAGAAAGAGTGAGCCACAAAGAGAGCCATGTTGCCAAGGAGACATAGTGAGCTCGGCCCCCCTCAGAGCTTGGGAAGGGGGAAAGTGGTGGGGAGAAAGAGAAAAGGAAAGGAAAGAAAGAAAAGAGGGAAGAAAGAAAAAGAAGGCAAGGAAGAGAAAGCAAGTGGGAAAAGGTGTGGGTGGAGGGAAAGTGTACCAGTGTGTGTTTAACATAAAGCATATATTTTCTTCACATTTACTTTTCCAAATGATTAATGCCAAAATGAATTGTCCATACATTTATTCTTCAGATTAAAATACCTTTGCCTACCAAGTCAAAATGTCGACCTCTCTTTATTCTCAGGCCAGAGCTACTCTTACACAGGCCTCAAATTTATATTCTGGACAAGTTCAACAACCTGGTCAAACCAGCTTTTACAACACTGCTCAGTCTCCCAGTGCTCTCCAGCAGGTAAACTATGGCACGGTAAATGGATTTCAATTATATTTTACTTGTATGTGTGGTGTGTGTTATAAGCTTCACAGTCTTTTATGGGGGGTGATAGCAAATTTGATGTTCCTTTTATGATGAAGGGGTTAGTTACCACATTGGATGGCAGCAATCTAAAATAGTTATTTTATGTAAGAAGAGCCTAATGCGAATTATCTGAATGGTACAAGCAAGCCATCCACAATCACAAGCAGGAGTCATGTGATCTTGTTCTTTGGACCATTGATTTTTCTCCTCTCTTGCACATTATATTCTGCCTTGCTAGCTTAGTAGAGTCTTCAGGTTTCTCCTTTTCTTTCTCTATCCTCACTTCCTCTTAAACATCTTCCTTAAATTTAAAGCAATCTTCTTTACTTTACATTTTTTTCCTATTGAAAAACACCCTGGTCTTTCTCAATCTCCCTTATCTTTTTTTTAAAAAAAAAAACCTTTTGCTTCTTATAATGTATGTGTATGTACTAACAGTAATGGCTACGGAAAAAGACGAGAGCTCGAGATTCGGTGTGACAAAGTGAAAAAAAGTACAGAGAAGCACCAGTCACCCACCTCATCAAAAGGCTCGATTGATTGCACCTCAGCAAGTCTCTGAATATACTATAGTACCATCACTAAGAAAAAAAATCATCTATATAAATAAAAATGTACTGTTCATTTGTGGGATTAACATAACTCAGAAACCCCTGGATGAATTGACACCAAATTTGGACACAATATACCTATCAGGCCAACAAATGACCATCACTCATAAAAACACCGAAAACACAGTGGAAGAGACTTACAAAGCAAAAAAACAAAGATACATTACAAAGCATGCGCAAAACCACATATACACACAAATACACCCATATATATACACACACATATATACAGACTGGGCTACAGCAACGCGTGGCAGGGGACAGCTAGTTTCTTTAATGAGGTTGCAGAAAAATCTCCACAGCAGCTGCAAAAAAGCAAATACCATAATGGAGACAAAATGCAGAGAAAAGGCATCAAATAAAGATTTGGAAGGGGAGGAAAACAAAAGCAGTAGGGCAACTAGGGAGACAAAAATAGTGGAGAAAGGGCAAGGAGAACTTGCTTGATTCAATGACATGCACCAAAGTTATAGTCTTTTTGTGTTCCATATTTACCATAGTAATGTTTAAGCAGCTGCAACACATACCTTTGTAATGGCATCCTTAGGCTTCTTTCTTGTTAGTAACAGGATAGCAGACTTTAGAGTTACTTAAATGCAGTTAGTTTTCTGATTCTGTCTTCTCTGCTGGTTTATTGGGTGCTAAACTATATTTTGACAAGGCTGTGTAGTCAAACCGAGGAAACTGGGGATGAGTTAAAAGAACAAGATTACATAAGTTCTGCCTCTGAGGTGGCACGTGGGGATTCAATGCATGTAATTGTGATTTGATCCTCTGTACAGTGACTACTCTTATGTAACAACATTTTTTTAAAAAACTGTTCCTGATTTGAAAGAATTCTTGTTTAATTGTACAGTGCTTATTTTGAAAGTAGTTCTTATACTCCAGAAACTTTGTTTTTATGGCTGCCACAAACATATTGACCGTGAAAGATCCCACAAGTTTTTCTAGATGAATAAAGACAGTTGTTGAGGCTCTGTTCTTCTGAAAGTACTGGATCTCTGCTCAGTCCGAGTCGATAATTCCAAGAGATAGAATGAATGTATTTTTTTCCTCCTTGTATAACCTTATTTTCCTTCCCTGATGAAACAAAATGACCAGAAATCTCCATACTTGTTGACATACTGTTGTCTTATGTATTTAAATCACTATACCACTACTTATCGCCTATGGACAATCACTGGTTCTGAGATGCCTTGGACCGGTAGTGTCATTTTTCCTGGCAAGGAAGAAGAGGGGTTTTCTTTCATGAAGGTTCAGTTTCTGCCTCTGATAGCTTGCCAAGGCATTTATTTTTGACCCGGGAGCCAGAGGTGATAGGGATTAGGAAAAAATATCCATTTCAATGTGCAAGCTGTAACTCACAGCAAAAGAAATGTCTAATTGCCATTTTGAAAGATTTTTCAATATTGTACCTTGTGATTCATTTCTGGATGCTGGATAATTAACTTCCCATTGGCATTCAACTACTGCTTTCAGAAACATGGATTATCTAAAACTAATGGAATTTAACTAGAAACACCTGTTGTCAGTTCCCCCACAGAGCTAATGGACTTTTAAAAAAAGTATTTTAAGAAATGCCAAGGCTAATACATTTTGTCTGGTGGATTGATCATAACACCTAAAAGTATTCATACCCATCCAGGAGTTAAAGTTTTTCTTTTCCTCGAAACCATAACAAAGGAATTTTCTCAGGACTAAGAAACAAGTAGATAAGTGAACTATAACACTTCTGCTTTTGGGGATAAACTAGTAGCATAGTGACAGCAGCAATGATAGCAAAACTGAAAAAAGGAGAAAGTGTATTTTACTGCCACCTTGTGTTCACCTTTAAGGTGTCCAGGGAAGGCAAATTGGCTGATTATTTGGAACCAGTTGGATTTGTGGAACTGAGAATGTTAAGAAAAGAAGTAACTGCGAAATTGAAAGAAATACATAATTCTCTGATAAAGCTCAGTGGGGAGCCAATTCAGACAAGTCGGAGTTTGGTGAAATTGGAATCCAAAAAAGAAAATTCCCCTGGAAATTGTACATAAAGCCTTCAGCAAAGAGATTAATAAGAACTATCCATAGGCCTGGCTTGAGGCCAAACAGAAAAATCCACATAGAGAAGCAGTGGCTAACTTCATGAGATGGGAGATTTGTGAATGGACTGTGCTGTGGGACCATTGTCATGGGAACATCTATATACATTGAAAGGGAAGTGAAGAAGATAACCTATATGGACTGTTTCTGAATGTACAACAAAATAGAAAAGAAACACCTCATCGCTTTATTTTGTATTCCTGTAAAATTATTCAGATGGATTTGCTAGTTTTTGAAAACAAACTCCACAAATGTGATTCTAGGCCACACCAATATGTAGAGTTCCAATCAAAGGGAGAAGGAGTATAACTCTATCCTGCTTTGATTAAACCTCCACTGGAATACTGTGTTCGGAGAGAGAACAATTTATTTTTGATGTATGTGAAGTGCTTATACAGTGTGTTTATAATATGCATGTGTTTTTCTGCAGGTGACAGTACCTATACCTGGATCACAGCTTTCTTTGCCCAACTTCGCATCAGCAGGGCAGCCTTTAATTGCTCTTCCACAATCCCTTCAACCTCCCTTGCAGCATACAGCACCACAGCCTCAGCCACAGAGTCTGGGTCGGCCATCCCAAGTAGGCCAACCTTTCAGAGGGCTAATTCCAGCTGGAACTCAGCATAATATTATGACCGGAAAGGTAAATTTATTTGTCTATCGTAGCACTTAGATCAGGGATCCTCAAACTTTTTAAACAGAGGGCCAGGTCACAGTCCCTCAAATTGTTGGAGGGCCGGATTATAATTTGAAAAAATCATGAATGAATTCCTATGCACACTGCACATAACTTATTTGTAGTGCAAAAACACTTAAAAACAATACAATAATTAAAACTAAGAACAATGTTAACAAATACAAATTGATTAGTATTTCAGTGGGAAGCGTGGGCCTGCTTTTCGCTGATGAGATAGGATTGTTGTTGTTGTTATTGTGTGCTTTCAAGTCGTTTCAGTCTTAGGTGGACCCTGAGCGAGGGCCAGGTAAATGACCTTGGAGGGCCGTATCCGGCCCCCGAACCTTAGTCTGAGGACCCCTAACTTAGATAGTAGGAACTGAAGGGTCTATGGACAGTAATAGATGTTGTTGATGGTGATGGTGATGGTGATGGTGGTGGAGGTGGTGTATGAACCGAAGCACATTGCATGCAAGGGTATCTATAGTATGGTGACCATTCCAAAATGTTTATTGACCATAAACTGGATTGCAAATGCAAAATGTTGAACAATTATGGAATTCTGTTCCATCTGTAATGCACAAAATCTATGATTCTGTGAATTAATTTGAAATTAATAACACTGGTAAAGCATACCTTGTAACTGACAGTCAATCACTAATTCACAAATGAGCTATACTTCTTGATATGGCCAGGATAGATTAAGGAGTGGGTGAGTTTTAAAAGGTGACAAGTGTTGTATACATGTAGCATTCAAGAGCACTTGATAATAGAACACTATGTTACTACCGGGCTCGTTTGCATTACATAGCAAAAAAATTTGCTTCACATTTCCATGTGAAGCAACTGAACTGGTTTTTAATTTTCTCACTGAAATGAACAGTGTTAGACCATGGACATTTTTGTATTAATAGAATGAATGGGTGACACCAGGGTTTGATGTGGGAATAATCCTGTTCGATAAAGTCGATATAAGGGATGATTGGGAGTCCCAGAAAACACCCTGGGCATGTTCAGGTTGAATTGTTCGATTTATTTTGTCAAGAAGTTACGTGACCATATTTTGAATGTGTGTGTGTGTTATAGCCATTTGTTTCCATCAGCTTTCATGCAGGTCAAATTAAACTCAAGTCTCTGTTCTACCTGTATGTATATAAAAGATTAGTTGTTACTCTATATCTGGAGGGTGTGAAGAGGCATGTGTAGTTGCCTGTATAGAAATATGTAATATATATAAAGAAAGGAAAGCTCAAATCTGAGAGCAAAGTCAGTTGCCTCGTTCATTGACTGAATGTATCTGCTGATCGCATATAGTCAATCAGTCAAAACTAACATATTCTACATCTGGTTTTAACCTAGTAAGTTCTCTGGTGAAATCAATATGATTGAGTCCTCAGACAGTATTCTAGTGTTTAATTTTGAATTTATGGATTTAAAAAATATTGCTGGTTTTCTTCAGATGTCAGAAATGGATCTAAAGGCCTATGGAAGTGTCATTGATAAGCCAGGCACGCCTCCAGTTTCTGGACGAAGCACTACTCCAACATCCAGCCCATTCCGGTAAATAAATATTTTAAGACTAGTTACCAATATAGACTTGCATTAGAATCCAGTTAGAAAACAATGATAATATTAAATTAAGCATTAGTGTAATGCTGCCATTTTGACAACAGAGAAGCAATACAGAAATGCTCAATAAATCACAGACTGAAGATTTGTAATTGTTCAAAATAGATATTTGTACAAAGCATAGATAAGAGTGTGTTGAAATGGAACTGCTTGTTTATGAAAAATAACACATAAATACATAGATAGATGAAGTTGGCTGGTTTGGTGCATATGTGTTTTAGGAATATTAATAAAACACCAAAATGAAATCTAAAGGGACTTGTTTTGCCATCAGTTACTGCAGAGTGCATTTAGGTGTTTTCCTTTCTAGTCAGGCAAATGTGTCAGTCATTTAACAGGTGGACGGTTCAGGTAACTGAGCTACTCAGACTTGGATGAAAAAGGAGGACATATTTAGAAACAGGGCAATTTATTTTGCAGGAAATATGAAGACAGAATGGCTGCACACTTGACCAATTTCCATTTATTTCAGCAGAACTTGCACAGGTGTGTTTCCACAGGATTGTTCCTCAGATATGTGTGAATGACAGCAATCAATTTGACTACAAATCAATTATTACAATCTGCCATTATATTTTTTTGGTTTTGGAGAAGATAATGGTGATCACTGAAAGGGCTTGCACTCTGTTTTGTTTTGTTTGTTTTTTCTTTGAACTGCTGGCCCTTACACTCTATAGCAGATGGTTTTTTTACATTTCCTAAATTTCAAAAGCTACTTGCCAGGTAGCACAGGAAATGGGTGTACTGTTTGGGAAGCAACTCCCCCCCCCCCCCCCCCCATCTCTTACAAGGACAAACACACATTCTCCATACAGCTCGCTTAAGAACTTTCTTCAGAGATCATTAGTTTCTAATGAGTCCCCCTAGGGGTGTGAAAAGCGGTACATAAATACTGTAAGTAAATAAATAATAGTTTCTCACCATTGCACCCGTGAGCCCCAGTTTGGACAAAGATGGGGTATAAGTAAAGTGGTTGGTTGGTAGGTAGGTAGACAGAGACAGGCCATTGTTAGAAGATACTGATTTTAAATATTTAGAAATATACAAATCCGGACACCAGACTGCATGGTGGTAATAATAATAATAATAATCATCGTCATCATCTTTATTTCTACCCCCCACCATCTCCCCAAAGGGCTTACATGAGGCCAAGCCCAGCGATACATTACAGCAAAATAAAATAAAAACAACAAAAATAACATCACAATAAAATAAATAAGCCAATCAAGAAAAATAAACAGTGCGAAATAACATAATGGAAAATAAAAAACAGTGGGCGGGCCAAATGCACGACATAAAATGATAAAACTCTGGATGAGATAGCAATGAAAAAGGTATATTTGTGGGAGAGGAGCTCATAGGGGACGGAACAGTTAGACTTTCAAAAAGGTGATTTTGGACTACCCAGAGAGCTCAAAATGTTAAGCATGGCTAAATATATTAAGCATGGCTAAATATAGAAAATTTCGAGTCAGCTTAACAAATCCAACTACCAATCCTGTACAGGAAGTGTCTGTTGGATGATATCAAACAATTAGCTGAAAAGTATAGGAGCCCCCGGTGGTACAATAGGTGCTGGGTGCCATGTGCTGGAAGGAATGCTAACCAAAAGGTTATCAGTTTGAATCCGGCAAGCAGGGTGAGCTCCTGTCTGTCAGCTCCAGCTTCCCATGCGGGAACATGAGAGAAGCCTCCTACAGGATGGTAAGAAATCAGGTCGTCCCCTGAGCAATATCCTTGCAGAAGGCCAATTCTCTTACACCAGAAGTGACTTGTAGTTTCTCAAGTCATTCCTGACACAAAAAAAGCTGAAAAGTATGTTCTTTTTCAATAGGTACAGCCCTACAACTATTGCCGCATTATGGGATCGTTACAAAAATAATGGATTTCAGGATACCTTTAACCCAGATTCAAGTTTTTGTGCTTATAAGAGGGGGGAAATCCTCTCTGTCTAATAAAGAAGGCCTTTCCCCAAACAGGAAGTGACATCCAGTTTGGGAGAAGGGATAAAACAACAGCTGGTGTAGTTGGTTCTCACTTACCTGATTCTCACTCCTGATTCTCAGAAGCCCCCGATGGTGCAGTGGGTTAAACCCTTGTGCCGGCAGGACTGAAGACCGACAGGTCGGAGGTTTGAGAGCGCAGATGAGCTCCCCTGTCAGTTCCAGCTTCCCATGCAGGGACATGAGAGAAGCCTCCCATAAGGATGATAAAACATTAAACATCCAGGCACCCCCTGGGCAACGTCCTTGCAGACAGCCAATTCTCTCACACCAGAAGTGACTTGTAGTTTTGCAAGTCGCTCCTGACACACAAAAAAACCTTACCTTAAAAAGAGAGGATACACAGGGTTTTTTTTTTTGAGAAAAAAGGTTATATTTGGCCACATTTTTTCTACCCTTGTTGGAAGCAACATTTCTCTTCCTTTATGAAAATTCAGGGAGGAAATAAGGCTTTCACGTGTAAGCAAAAGCAACGAAGTTTAATGGTTAGTCCACTGACCATATCAACAGTAAAGACAAGACAAAAAAGTACACAAATAGACACTAATCAGTCTCCTAAGACTCCTGTAATAGTGAACTAACATACATTAGAACTTGATTAAGTTAGAAGTTAGAAGTAATTAAAAATATCATCATTAAAATGCCAAGGTAAAACATCATACCACAAAAGTTAAAACCAAGGTTAAAACAAAGATTAAAATAGACGTGTAAGCATTATTGATGATCAAATAGTACTTAAGTCAGTATAATGCTTACAGCATACTTCCCTAATATGATACTTGTACTTCTTTTTTGCTAAGCAAAATTTTGTATTTGTTAAATAATCCTGATTCGTGTACGGGACATATGTCTGCATGTTCATTTGAATCCAGAAGAGATTACCAAATCATTAATAAAGTGTGTGTAATTAAACTTGAGTATGTTTCAATTGTGTGAGTGGTGATAGGAAATTCCAACTTAATTTAAAACATGTGTTTCAACCATAATGGCACAAAATAAACTGTTTTCTTGTTTCCCTGTCTTTAAGCAGACTCTACTAAGTAATTCCCAAATGTTGCTTCTAGATACCATATCAAATTGTAATAGAAATTGTCTCTGATGATACCCAGTATTTTAACTAACGAGGAATGTTTTCTCCCTAAGGGCTGCTTCGACAAGTCCGAACAATCAGTCCAATAAAATGAATACCATCATCTACCAAAAGCAATTTCAATCAGCGGCTGTGAGAATGGCCCAGCCCTTTCCTCCTCAGTTCACACCACAGGTGGGCAGCAAAAAGTTCTCTACCAGGAGGCTGGGATATGTCGTGTGTGATTGTGTAGTTCGACCTTGTTTCAGTGAAGAAACCCTACATGCAGCAAGATCAGTCATATTAAGTTTTATATGATATTAAATCTAATAGATATCAGTGTTCTGTTATATAGATAAAAGTAACACCTATTATTTCAGTAACATCTGTGCTCCTGAAATTGGAGACTGATAACCACGGACTTCTCCAACACAGCTCTTTATTGCAATTTAGTGTTTTAGTGTTTGCATAGAGGGAAAACCTTGTGTCTAAGAGAAGGGTCCCAATGTGTGTTTCAAATCTCCGGCAGACATTTAGGGAACACTTCACCAGGATTACCTCCACTGAGAAAGTTGTGCAAAATAATCTTTGTAATATTAATATTAATAATAATAATAATAATAATAATCTTTATTTATACCCCGCCACCATTTCCTCAAAGAGGACTCGGGATGGCTAATATGAAGCCAAGCCCAAAGATACAAAACAGCAAAATAAAAATACAGAATGCAGACTACAAAAAATTACATCAGAATAAAATACATACAGTAGCTAAATAAATAAATAAATTTGTACCCTTGCACAATCTCTGATTCCGTCGTTCCGTCCTGTGTAGACATTCCTGGTGAATAGTGCACCTTGGCCACTTAATCTGAAACATAGTTCTGAATCACACTTCCACAATATAGAATAGTACTCCTTAAAAGGGGAAGTTTTTACACAGTGCAACTACTAGAAAATACCTAAAAAGGAGAGGTGAGATGTGTACTTGTAACTTCTGGAATGTTTTTTTTTCTTTCAAATATTGGACATTGAATGAGTGCTGGATTTGGATTGGAAGCATAAACGTGCATTTGTTGGCTCTTGCGTTTTGGACTCTATTTGATATCATGCTCTGGTCTTCCCACGGCCTCTTCCCCCTGCTTTTTCAGTCACAGAGGCAGTTTTTCAACACAATACTCACTCCTACACAGAATTCCCCAAACATTACCCATCTGAACTGGGAAAGCCCACCCACAACTTGACACTGATAGCACAGCGAAGCCACCATGTGGTCAGGTTGGCAATTTGCTCACAGCTAAATGTGTCTCTTTTTGTTGTTGTTGTTTTTTCCATCACTTAGATCCTCTCTCAGCCTAACCTGGTCCCTCCATTGGTCAGAGCCCCACATACTAACACCTTCCCAGCGCCTGTTCAGAGGCCGCCAGTGGCACTTGTTAGTCAGATGCCACATCAGATGACCACAGGCCTTTTGAGCCACCCTCGATTGCCACATATGGCCAGGGGTCCTTGTGGATCGCTCTCTGGAGTCAGAGGCAATCAGGCCCAGGCTGCGATGAAGGCTGAACAAGACATGAAGGTTAGTAATTTTTGTAATGGCCATGCTGTGTTAACCACAGTTCAGTCTGAAAAAGTTGTAAGGCACAATGCTAATCTTTGTGTAAAATGCAGATAACCCTTTCTGCAGTGGCCAAGCATTTTTTTAAAATTCAAACATTGAGACTAGTTGCAGCAAAGTATCAAAATACACAAGAACACGAATGAACGCTAGAACTCCAAAACTTTGAAGAGTGGATTAAATTCCATGTGAGCCTTTCATTCCCTCTCCCTGCAACCCTTCTCAGTGCTGCACGACTGCTCTGGATGGTTTCTCAAGCTTCCTGAACTAGTTGTTATGGTTTTCAGCAGTGGTTCTCAACCAGATGTTTTGGCTTCAACTCCCAGAGCAGCTGGTAAACTGACTGAGATTTCTGGGAGTTGTAGGTCAAAACACCTGGGGACCCACAGGTTGAGAACCACTGGTGTTCAGGAAGCTGCAGGAGGCCATCTTTCTTCTAACAGCAGAAGTATATCATTGGTTTCTGTCCATCCATTCATTGCAGTCCGTTCGTCTAATCTTTATTCATTTTTCTCTTTTCCGACTGTAGAAATTACCCAAATAAAGCAGTATTTCATGACATTATCACAAAGCACTTGGAGACCCTTCAAGATAAAATAAGACACTTTTTCCTTTAGATGTGAGCTGTGATGCAGAGTCTGCATGGATGACATAAAATCAGGGGGAATCTGAAATCATTTAACTCAGGCAGTTGTTAAGATGAGCAGAACTTCCTTAATGTTTTTGTTTGATTTACAAAAAAAAGTGAGACATTAGTCAATGTATGCAAAGAAATCTTGTAGTACCTTTCAGACTGTGTGTGTATGTATGTGTTTTCCCACCTCTTGTCAACACAACGGCCAGTGCCTCAACTAAACGAGCTCTATTATTTGTCCAAGTCAGAGGGGTAGATGGTATATGGATCTCATTTAGCTGCCAATCTCTTTTGTTATCAATCAAATTTCACCTTGCTGCTTGAGTTCCTCAACAATTCTCCCTCAGAGGCCTATGCCTCTGATACTGTCATCATTAGTTACCATTGAAGTGTTTCCTCCATTAAATTGAAAGAGTGCATAGATTTAATTTTTTTATTTCACGCTCTTATACATTGTCTTTCGGGTTACAAACTCTCCAGTTGCTTATAACAAAGCTCATCAAGTGCACATAAATCTGCATATTAAATTTTGAAGAATTGGAACATTCCTGAAAGATAATGGAAACTGAATAATCAAAATGACATAGAAAAAATAAATCTATATCAGGCTAGAATTAAATTAAAATCATTCCATGTTCTTATTTTAAGCTAGCTTGTGAAATACTGGATAGTTTGAGCAGATAAAAGACCTTTCTCCACTTGCCACTGGCCAAAACCTTGCCAAACATCCATAAGTTGTCTTACGTATTGTATAGTCCAGGGGTCCTCAAACCTTTTAAAGAGAGGACCAGGTAACAGTCCCTCAAACTGTTTGAAGGCCGGATTACAATTTGAAAAAAAAATGAACGAATTCCTATGCACACTGCACATATCATATTTGTAGTGCAAAAGACACTTAAAAACAATACAATAATTAAAATGAAGAACAATTTTAAGAATTATAAACTTAGTATTTCAATGGGAAGTGTGGGCCTGCTTTTGGCTGATGAGATAGGGTTGTTGTTGTTGTTGTGTGCTTTCAAATAGTTTCCGACTTAGGTTGACCCTGAGCGAGGGCCGGGTAAATGACCTTGGAGGGCTGTATTCGGCCCTCGGGCCACAGTTTGAGGACTCGTGGTATAGTCCTTTGTCTCCCTGCAAAGCAAAAGACATATTGCTGATATATTTGAAAAGCCATTTGATGGTGACATTTTGGTGGTTGTCTCTGCTTGATGGAGGTTTGCAGTAACTAAGCATGGTGACAACATTGCTGTCTATGCTAACGTGCATGCCATTTTGTCAAATAGAATTGCTACGCTTATATCATATAGTAAGCTCATTGTTGCACTCTGGCCTGGAGTCCCCTTTGCACCCAGCACCACAAAAGAGTCCAGTAGTACTAACTAAACAGTTTATTGAAGAAGGCAAATATAAAAAGACACATGGCAATGTAAAAAAACAATGTCCAAAAAGTAATATGAAAAAAGGCTTTCAAAAGGCCATAGTCCATACATCAAAGTTCTGTTCAAAAGTGACAAGGTACATGAAAAAACCAGGAATCAAAACGTAGGCATAAATCCATAACCAGGAACTTCTTTCCAAAACATGAATCCATGAACATGAGCACAAGAGGTTCCCAAAGATCTTAAACATGAACATGGAACAAGAACAAAATCCAAGGTATACACAGTAGCACAACATTGTCTGCTCTAACCCTTTCAGTAAACAACACTTTATTTTAAGGTCCACAAGCCATGAAATTATGCCTTTGACGTCTGGTCTGTTTCAAGGATTTCTCACGGAGTCTCTGTGACCTCCGTAAATCTGATTCTCTCCTCCCAGAGATCGAATCTCATATACCTACTAACCCTAGGTGTTTTTCCAGGGGAAAGGTCGTTCCCTTCCAGCTCTTTATCTTCCGTTGCCAAGGAACAGACAGGGGAAAGGTTTTCCCTATCTTCCAAAGCCAACGCATCTCCCTGCTCTGAAGCCGTTTCTTTCTGACCAGGCACAGGCCTATTCTCCTAGACAGAATCATGATGCAAAATCCCCTCATTTCCCACACTGGAAAACCCATCATCCCTCACAACCTCTGACTGAACAATCCCCTCATCTTCAGCCTCTAGCTCAGGGGTCCTCAAATTAATGATATGGCCCTCCAAGGTCATTTACCCAGCCCTTACTCAGGGTCAACCTTAGTCTGAAACGACTTGAAAGCACACAACAACAACAACAGCAACAACAATCCTATCTCATCAGCCAAAAGCAGGCCCACACTTCCCATTGAAATACTAATAGGGTTATATTTGTTAAAATTATTCTTCATTTTAATTATTGTATTGTTTTTAAGTGTTTTTTTGCACTACAAATAAGATATGTGCAGTGTGCATAGGAATTCATTCATGCTTTTTTCAAATTATAATCCGGCCCTCCAACAGTTTGAGGGACTGTGACCTGGCCCTCGGTTTACAAAGTTTGAGGACCCCTGCTCTAGCTGAACCACAATACTCACACTATTAAAAATATAGTTTAAGTTGCAATTCTGGCAATCCAGTTATGGATTTCTAATGACAGCATTTAAAATCATGACTAAACCAAATGCCACTGAAAAAAGATATTTGTCTTGGAGGTTTTTAGATGTCAATCTCTTGGTTTTAAAAAACCGTTCAATCCTGGGGAAAGCATAATTGCATTGCAAAGAGGGAAGTACTTCATGGATAGTAAGCCTTTTTTTCCTTTATTACCTCGCTGTAAGTTCCCTTTTTCTAAAATATAAAATAGATTGATGCTTGTTTCACATGAACAGAATTCATGTTGTAATTTAGTCACAGATCAAGTTATTTTCTGTGTGTGAGTCTGTCAAGTTCTACATGGTGATTGTAACATCTTAAACTACACAATGTGTATAATGTTGACCAAAAAGAAGAATAGTTGAAGCTGAATGACCTTTTGTTGAAACAGTTCAGCAAAAGTAGATAAGCAGCTAAAGCTCTAGAGCAGTGGTTCTCAACCTGTGGGTCCCCAGATGTTTTGGCCTTCAGCTCCCAGAAATCCTAAACTGGCTGCAATGTTTGGGAGTTGTAGGCCAAAACACCTGGGGACCCAGAAGTTGAGAACCACTGCTATAGAGATACATCAGATGTATATGTATTTTTCAGGTTTCTACTGTTTAATCTGCCTTTCTTTTTGATTAAGGCAAAACAGAGAGCAGAGGTCCTTCAGTCCACACAGCGATTTTTCTCGGAGCAGCAGCAGAGCAAGCCGACAGGAAGCAAAATACAGAAAGTGCTCGACGATGGGAATAAAGGTCCTGAAGGAGCGCCAGACTCCTCCACGGCATGTCAGGACAAGGTGGACGAGAAGCCGAGTCCTGCGCCGGCAGCCACCTCCAAACCTGTTAGAACTGGACCAATCAAACCTCAGGCCATCAAGACAGAAGAAACAAAGTCTTAAGAATGATGTCCATTACGCCGATATGGGGAGTGAAGTGACAGCCGGCAAAACCTGTCGTGCCTCAGGGCAAGGCATGTCCCTTCAAGGCTGCAAGTGGCATAAAAAAGTGCAGATGAGAGCAGCTACAGGCTCTAATAAGGATGTTGGAGCATGTAGTTTTTATGCCACTGCATGAAAGAGCGTTATCTTTTTGAATAGAGGCACCTCTCTGCTTTTTTAATGAGAAATAATGCTCCCGAGGCGGCATCTTAGATGAAGGGAAACACTTTGCTGTCGGTTTGCTGCTGTTTCGTTTTGGGAAGAGCAACAAATGTAAGAGAAGGCCTTGTTGGACACAACCAGGTTTGGCTTTACGTTATTGGGGGCCCTAACAGGATGTTGATCTTTAAATAATGAATCAAGAGAAATTGCAGCAATTGGTAAGTCACACAGAGCAACTTAATTACACACACAATTTTCTTCCATACAGACATGCCGTTTTGTTCTGTGTGTGTTCTGTACCAGACTTCCCCAAAAGGCTGCTACTATAGTTTGATATGGTGCTGAACTCAATGTAAAAAGAATCAAAATCCTAATTGACCCCCCCCCCCCCCAAATATATTACTCTTATACCAGAAGTGCAGACTAAGAAGGCTCTTTCTAGGAGTTGCATTGGCAGTCATATTGAGGTATGGCGAAATAGTAGGGGGAGCGGGTGGTGAACGCTTTTTGCCTTCAAACAGTATTCCGCTTATGTCTGTATAGAGCAACAAGCATTTGACCTTGTGCCGTAAGAAGAGCATCCTCTCTCTCTCTCGTGGCACATTCTAATAGCAAAGCTGCATCACACTTCCTTCTTGCTCACTGTGTGCTGGGAAATAGAATCAAGTCAAATAATGCCTTCTTAATTGTATCCTTCTAGTAGTATAGGTGTAGGAGAGTACTGTATGATAACTTCTGTGAATGTAAAATACCCCATACCTGCTTATGATATGTAGTTGTGACTGTGCTATCGCAGAGCTGTTTAATGATGTTACTCTAGACTTTTCAAGCCACGACCGGTTGTTATCAAGAGCGCCAGTGCCACAAAACCAGGGGCAGAACGTTTTCCTTTGAGAATTCCGTCTCTTTCCCGGAATAAAGAGTAAGATAAAAGTCTAATCTGTATAATTTTGCTCAGATGATGGCAGAAGCTAGAAAGGTCTGTTGCTGCTATTAATACCTAGTGAAATGCTGTTGGTTATTTTTTTTATATAAATATTATAATTTGACTTTTTGGAAATTTAGCTGTGATGTCAGCTTTGGGGAAGAGGTATCCACTTGTACTGTGAGTTGGCATTGTACAGAAATTAACAGCCATATTGGTCTAGAAATGATTAAACCTTTTCATTTGTACAGGGATAATGCACTGTATTAAATATGTATGGTCTTATTTACATGGGTTTGATTACAGAAACTAATAAAATATTCTCTACATAAAGTACCTACGAATTGTATGCTTTGTTGTCTGTACTTAAATTCCTACCTAGTCATGGGTTTCTCAGTAGCTTTAGAAAGCCATATTACCAGTATTGATCAAGAATGATAGTATCATAAAGTTGGAAGAGATCACAAAACCCAATCAGTCAAAGCACCCCCAACAGATGCCCATCCAGCCACCACTTAAAAACCCACAGAGAAGGAGACTTCACTGGACTCCCAGACAACAATGTATTCTGCAGGCAAAAAACGCTTGCAATTTTTCCTAAAGTTGAGGTGGAATCTTTTCCTGCAGCTTGAATTAATTGCTCCATGCTAGTGGTTCCCTACCTTTTTTTTTTGACCAGGCACCACTTTTACTAGGGACCACTCTCCAACATTAGTACCAAAATCAGTTTTTGGTCAATTTTAGATTTGGTTTGGTTATTGGAGGTGCTGATTCAGAAAATTGCATTGAATAGACCACATCGGCTCTACTTTCTGATACAGAACATACGCCATCCAGTAGTCGCCATCTGCTTGCCCACAGAAAACCATATTTAATAATCTAGAGCTGATGTGGTAGTAGTAATCTTTTGTGGGTACTCTGCCTCTCCCCTCCCAACATCTCTGTTGCCTTGACACTATAAGAAGATTTCACGAGACCACTTACTCTTGTTGCCATGTGGTTTCAAGGCAGCGGTGTCGTAATGGTGAGGGCACGGACCATATTTTCGTTTTTGTGGACCACTGATTGGGAACCGCTGCTCCATGCCTTAGTCTCCTTAAAATCTGGTTTGTCATATAATAAAAAGGCATGCCAGCCAACTCTCATTGTGCCCCTCAAAATTTAACTAGTTTTAATCTCTCGACATTATTCATGTCAGATAGCAAGCTGCAAAACATGTTTCAAAATCTGGCAATACTAAGCCCCCTCTCTTTCTGTCTTGTAGTACGTTTAATCTTCTTGGTTTCTTTCCCTGCTATATTAATTTTATTATTTTTTGCAAACTCTTCAATGGATTGTCCCTTAATAAATTGCCCAACTTACTGGGCAAGGTCCGTGGCGGCAGGGGGCATCCTCTGGCCGGCCATGCTGGTGGCTGGGGGCTTCTTCCCAGAAGCCCCCTGAGTGGCGGGAAGTTTCCTGCCAGGACGGGGAGGGAACATCCAGTGGTTCCAAGGGGTGCCATGTTTTATTGCCTGGTATTGTGCAGGTAACACCGTCGGGTTTTGCGGTATCGGTCAGCAGTGGGCTGAGCGATCTTGATTCAGAATCCATGCCGCAATCCTGAGTTCCTGTAATCAATAAATAAGTTGTGACAATTTTTCATCCCAACGCTTGGTTCCAGTTGTCTTTTTGTTATGGCAGTGGGAGAGGGGGTCGCCCATCCACACACAACTATTATTGGGATAGTTTGGAATAGAAATGTTTTTGGTCGAGTGTTCATTTTCATTTATGCTCTTAAGTCCTCGTAAGGATAGAGGGCAGCTTCTGATTCCCCCCACCCTGCCAAATGCGGATGTACATATACTGATCAAGGTTTGTATTCTACTAATACCTTGGATCTCAATCATTAAATCTTTAAACTGAATAAGTTCACAATTATCCCAATGCTCTATAATTTTAGTTACAAATGGGAGAATGAAACATTACAAGGACTATCTTGCTCCATACCTTTATTCCAAACAAGGGCTTGACTAGCAGAGGACATTTTCCAGACATCAGTTAAATCTTGCAAAGCAACAGGTCCAAAGGAGAAGCATGAAGACTGACAAACTTGCATAACGTGCCAGGGGGAAAGTAGAACATGACAAATCAACTAACCATATATTTGTGGCTTTCAAGGGAAGCTGTTTGTGTACCCAGTACTGATTCTAATACCCAGAAAAGGACAAATAGCTATCCTGAATGTAGGGCGTTGGGGTTCGGTCAATTTGTGCTAGTTGTTCCACATGAGGCACGGAACCTGGTTTGTGCGGATAAACAACAACAAGAACTGGTGGCACATTATTTGAGAATTTGTGACCACCTTCATACCCCTGGGAAACTGGTGATGAATAGACAGCATAGTGCATTGGCATAGAAGACTGGCAAAATCCATGGCCTATGTGATCCAGGCCTCTGTTACTGAGAGAGTAAACAGTGCAATTCCCTTCCATAGGTTGACACTTGGCTAGTTCAATTGACTCTTGCACAGGACCTCTGGAGAGTGCAGGACAGCTGTCTAAAATATGCCTGTCTTCTATCTGAGCTGGGGACCACCATGGATGAGAATGGAGACATCTTCCAAGGCAGGTAGTGCTTTGGATTCTTTGGACTTGAGCTGGAGAGTTCTGTTTGATGAAGCATGGATAGAGCCCTTCGTTGGTGGAAAGGTCCTGCCTTCCTGAGAGAGACTGCATGCAGGCTTGATTCGGATGGCATGAGTAACCTTTGTGAAACCTTGCAGAGTGATCAGGAGGGGATAGGTTGCAGACAACACTAGAGGAAACAGGACAGGCATCTCTAAAGGGAAGATTTAAGAGAGGCGTGCAAAAACAGTTTACATCCATTTGTCTCTGCTCCTGCGTAGGTCATAATCATCTGGTGCCTAACCTGTTGAGGGGAAATGGGAGTTAGTCAAATGGTTGGAGTTGGTCAAATTGCTGCTTTCTAAAACAAACATTATTAGGGTTTGGTTACTGAAATGGTTCACAAATCTGCTGCCTTGACTTCAAAAATTGTGTTTTAAGTGCTGTGTCACTCAATATGGGAAACAGAACTCCTGATTATTCTATGTAACAAAATTTGAAGCATCTTCTGTTCGCGGTTTGAAAGAGGTGGTTCCTGATATATTGAGTGGTACTTACTTTGAATTAATTGTTAAACTCCAGAAACTTCATTTGTGTGAGTGCCACAAACTATGTTGAATTGGTTGTGACTCTATGAGATATTAACTGAAAAACTATAGCACAATGTGCCGCAGGATGTCCCACAAAAATAACATGTTTGCAGTTTAATAAACTTTTTCCATGTTTTTATGATGGAACCAATTAGGAAATGACATTTGTAATCCAGGAACACAGCTCTCATTACATAGTGTTAATTGATCTCCTTCTCCTCTCCCAATACTTTTCTGTGTGATTCTTTAGAAGGCTACCAAAAATGAAAGAAAAGAAAAAGAGGTAGCGTGCAGAGCTGGAGAAAAAAGAAAGCCCAATCTGGGAGAACTTTGCCTGAGCATCTGAACAGTGGAGCTGGTTCAAGGATACATAAGAAACATTAAGGAAATGTCAGTTAGAGGTCTGACCAGATAATAATTTCTAAACCCTCACTACCTCTGAGGATGCTTACCATAGATGCAAGTGAAATGTCAGGAGAGAATGCCTCTAGAACACGGCCATACAGCCCGAAAAAAATCTACAACAACCCAGTTATTCCAGCCATGAAAGCCTTCGACAATACATTTCAGTCAGAGTCCTTGGAAGTAAATAATTACCAGGCACCATGCTTGGGACACAGCTCTTTGGCAAATCTGATAAACCAAGATTGTGCCAACTAATGTATGAATTAGTATTTCGGCAAATTAAGAATAATTCTAAACCAAACTTCTTACAACAAATTGAAACATCTTTTGGAGAAAACTACTTTTGTAGACTCATTCTACCTTCATCACTATAATTGATACAGGTCAAGTGGATGCAACTCTGGATGCCATGTGCTCAGTGATAACAGATATTCTTTAATTTGTAGAACCTGAGGATGGGACTGCCAGCCATTCCTTGAAAGACTATTTATTTATTATATTTATACCCCGCCCTTCTCACCTCGAGGGGGGACTCAGGGCAGCCTCACAAAAGCACCATGAGGTGCCAACATCATAAAACCATCTGCAGTGCTTTAAAATATTAAAATAGCAATTAAAACACACTTCTATAAAAATCAGAATCCAAAATACAGTCCAGGTCAGTTCATTACCATAAGTTGCTAAGACTTCTTCCACTTGCTGCTCACTGATTGAACGCTTGGTCCCATAACAAGGTCTTGATTTCCCTTCAAAAGACAGGAGGGAGGTGGCCGATCTGATGTCTCTAGGGAGGGCGTTCCACAGGCGGGGGGCTACTGCTGAAAAGGTCCTGTCCCTCATCCCCACTAGTTGCGTTTGCGATGGCAGTGGGATCAAGAGCAGGGCCTCCCCAGATAAGTTTCGTGATGGTTTTTACCAGAAAATACGTTCGGACAGGTAGTCTGGGCCGGAGCCGTTTAGGGTTTTAAAGGTTAAAACCAGCACTTTGAATTGTGCTCGGAAACTAATCGGCAGCCAGAGGAGCTGACGTAACAGAGGAGTTGTGTGCTCCCTGCATGCCGCTCCAGTGAGCAACCTGGCTGCTGACCATTGGACTAGTCTAAGTTTCCGTGCAGTCTAATTGTTATATTCCAGAAACTTCATTTAATATTCAATTTTGGGGCAAGGTGCTGAAATGTGTGGTAGTCTCCAGGAGTTGCTAGATGAACGAGGTCATATAAATCCAGTTCTTTCTGACTTTAGACCTGGTTATAGAATGGAAAGGGCTTTGGTTGTCTTGACTGCACTTGGAACTGCACAGAGGGAATGTATCCATACTGTTTCTGCTAGAACTTTCCATATAGTTAATCATGATATCCCTCTGGGATAGGACTCACGAGGCATTCTGTCTGTTATCCCAGTTGTTCCTGGTGAGATGAACTCAGAAAGTGGTGCTGAATTATTCATTAGCCAATGAGGTCCTTTGTGGGTTTTTTCTACCCCATATTCTTTACCATATACTCCAGTTCTTCTATCTGATGATCTGGACTGACAATGTTTTCCTCTCCGTGTGCCAGACTTTCACTAAATGGCTATACTTCTCTTAGGGACATCTGTATGTGTAAGTGTCCCTTACATGTGAGGATATCCTTTTTTGGTTGGCACTTTCTTTCTCCTTCCACATGTAAACACCCCCAACATACTGTGAAGCCCTTGAAACTGCCCCACATGGCTATTCTATACTTTGCAACTAATA